CGGTAGATATAGGCATATTTTTATCCCCTAAAAATTTTTCATCTGTTCGGATTTTCTGGCTGAAAGTCTAGAGATCCGAAAATTATAGGGATCAAAACTTACCTTTTCGAAAATTTCAGCCAGAAAAAAGGCTCCCGAAAATTCTAGGTGAGCTTTTTAGGGTAAAAATCCGTTAAAAAAGGCAATTGTACCAATTTTTAGATGTTCGAAAATCCTAAGAGAGGCAGGCAAGCAAGAAATTTTACAAAAAATGTTCCGAAAATTCTAGATCTAAATTCTAATCCTAGATCCGAACAGATATTTTCCGAAAATTGACGTTGAGTGCCCCTGTAAATTGTTTGTATTTATCTGCCTCCTTTTAAATTACTTATTTACAAAACCCATGCAAAATGCTGAGGTATCAACGTTTTGTTAAAGCTTATTAGGCATTATTAGTATTGCGTTATGTTTTGCTAACGCAGTTGATTAAATAACTAATCCAAAAAGTTCTATATTCATTTTATAACACGACAAAAAATTAGTTAAAGTAAAACATGTTGACCATTTGATTTGTTTGCCTCAAGTTTAACAAAGATTCAATTCCAGTCTAGATTTAGCAGCATTTTTTTTCTCATTTGCCTCCCTTATTTTCTATTTATCAATTTTGGTCTTTTAATTTGTGGCGTATAGTGCTTTTCTGACTTAAACCAAATTACTGCAATACAGCATGATTTGTAAAGCTCTCCCACTCCAGTAACTCACTTTGTCTACTGGAAAAAAAGATCTGCCAGCGGAAATATAATTTCTTTGTAGAAAATAATGAAGATAAAAGTTCCGTTCATACGAATTAGTAGAGCTCAATAAGCTTCAATTCAAGTACTGTTATTCATTCTTTGTCAGAATGAACATCCCTTCATAATCTTAGACTACAGAGGAGTAAGGCAATGAAGATGGATCCGACGTTGAGTAAGATTGTTCTTACACGGTTTTTGCAGTGGTTTTTTTTACCTTAACTACCATGGAAATTGTACATAGTTAGTATGCGTACATAGATGGAGTTAGGCATGTTTTGTTGAAGTCGGAAATATAGCAGATCGAATACGATGACCCCCTTCTCAATCTGCCTAATTCTTCTTATCATACGAGAGCCAAACCAAGAATTGCTAATGGATGAGTCGTTTGAGTTGTCTACGAAGAAGCAGTATTGGGGATAAAACGCCGATTTATATCTGCCCCTGAGGGCTAAGCCGGTCTCACAACGTCTTATTCGCATCTAAAGCAAAGACTGTATATTTCGGCTGTCCTTTCTTTGGACATAGAGGGTTATCTATTATTGGTATATAAAAGAGAGACGAGTGATTCAAGAACGAATAGTAGATATGAAATTAAAGTACGACTGGAGAACTTTAAAACGAAATATGAACTTGATTTCTGTGCCGTAAGATTTTTTTGGCTCATTAAAACTGGGCTGCGAATAACAGCAAACGTCATCACTGATGAAGGGGATCCGGATGATTTCTGAAAGCTCTGCTAAACATTCAACAAATTGTTGGTGCTGAAGAATTTTTTTTTTTCGGTAATTGATTACTGTTTGAACTTAGGAAAAATGTAACCTATTTCTTTTTATTAAGGACTCAAGCCGACTTATAGCAATAATTTCTTGAATAAGTTAACAGCGCTAAAATTTAACAGCATAGGATATTATCTTTATCTCGCGTCATGAAGCTGGCTCTAAGTTCTTTTCAAGCTTTGTGCTTCCGTTCTAGACTCAATGCGAAGTCGTTTAGTTGATACTTACGTTTTCCAGTAAGTTTTAGATCTAATATTCCTTAATTTTCTTGAAACAAAGAAACAAACCTACATACAGCTGGTATATCACGTTTCAGTGAGGCTATTCAAAAAAGAGTATTTTACAAAACAAATTGAATGTCAGAACCGTATCTTCTCCAACTTTAATCTTTCAAATGATTCACGATCTGAAAGCCTGTGATTCAAATGCAACCTTCAAGCCACCAACTGGTTACAACAGGTGATTAGGGATAAACGAATCATATATTACATAACTATTATTTTTGAGCCATGTTGGTGGTGGAGCACACGAAAATCACTCGCGTATTATGTGTTTTGCCAAGAGATTTTCGCATTTAGCGAAACTCTTTCAAAAGGTTTCGCTTTACAAATAATGACCTCGTCAACACCGCTTTTACTTAATTGTAATATACAGACAGGACAGTTATAACTCCGGTTTTGGCGAGTAAAATCATTGTTGTCGAAAGTGTTGAGTAAACGAACCTTCCAGACCAAAGCCCAGACTATTTTGCCTAAATGTTCTTACGTTCTGTCGTCTTTTTCTCCGGAATTTGTTTAAAGCGTCTTTGAAAATTTGCATTCTGAAACTGTAGACGAGAGGGTTCACCATAGAATTTGCCAGATACAAAGCTTCCACGACCCAAAAAACCTGTGGTGCAGAAAAGCAGGTCGGACAGAATCCTCTCGTTGAGTAGACGACAAAACCAGGCATCCAAAACACAAGCGATGAAGCAATTGTGATATAAAGTGTTTTTGCAAGCTGTAAATTGCGCTCCCTTGATCCCTGCTTATGATTGTCTACCGTGGCCGATGATGTTGCGCGCAATCGAGAACGTATGCTAAGGTAACTTGTACAAATTATCAAGATGGAAATAAGAAGGGATATCCTACTCGCGGCCAAAACATATCCCCCCTTCAATTCTGACAAATGGAAGGATAATACGGTAAAACCAAAGAAAACAAGGCCGACGACCCAAACAATAACGATGCTATAGATGTAAACCCGACTGTTTGTGATGCGATGACGAATTGGCCGCAAGACGGCGAAAGCACGTTCCAAGGAGACAAGGGCGAGAAAATAAACGGACGAACTCGAAAAAAGCATAACAAATGCCGCTGAGGGATTTGATCGGCTCTGTCTTAATACACTGCCTGCGTAACCCTCTCCAGTATCTTGAAATTTCACGGTTCCTATGACAATGAGTTCTGTAATCCCCACAAGAAAATCTGCGACTGCGAGGTTGACCAGAAGGAAATAAGTTCGTGTTAGGCGGGATCTCTGGGTCCAAAAGACGAAGATAGTGAACGCGTTTCCAACGATGATAATGATTCCTTGTACTGTGTAAATAACCACGAGGGTAATGTACGTTGAAGTAGGCATCTCCCTGCTCGTTCTGTTGTCAATTTATCCCAGCAGTCGCGAAACAGCTCTTACATGCACAGTTGAAAAGAAATGATGAACTCAGCATATAAATGGCCTTCGTCTATTATTTCAGGACGGAAAATCATGGAAATACAGGTGCCGCTGATCTTTACTTCGATAAGCTTCAAATAGCTGCGTTTTGTGTCGAGGATATTCGATTAATCTGAGATGTCGCACCTGAATCAACAGGCCATTTCAGAGTTGCCCCGGGCCTCTGTATCAAAACGAGGTTAAGTGCTCAGCCTTTGATATGGAAATGATTTTCCATTCTCATGCAAATAAAACTCATTTCCAAAGGAAAGATTGTGCACTTGGCCTCATTTTGAAAGTGAGGGTTTTTGGAACTCGGAAGTGGCCTATTAAAATTTATAGGAATTAAAGGGGGATATAACGTCCTTTCACATATGCCCTAAGGGTTTTGAAGAATTTAAATTCTTAACAGCAGGTGTAAGTAAACACTATTATTTGCGTCTTATGAGAAAATAACATACTACAGCTTTGATTCACTGGGGTATGAAGTCGGTGTCCTGAAAAACAGAATAACCTTTCCCTCTGTGTTTGAAGATTTCTTTGGTAAATCAAAATTTTGTCAATGCAAAGATTGAATTATACTAGTGCTTAGGCCAGGACCCAAAAATGAGAGAGTAGGTACCACTTGGGAGGAAAAAGGCTTATATCCCTGGATCATTGACATCCTTGTCTAAAGTTTATATTAAAGTGTGATAGCAAGGTGACTCACAGCCTTTTAAGGGATGAGAGGCGTGCTGACAACCTGTTCAATCCCCTTTTATGCTTGATCTTAAACCTTTGAGAAAATGCCAGAGAAAAGCTTCAATGGATGAAGTCCTTTCACTGTAGATTGTGATGATTCTTGGAAATCACAAATTGAACGATCACGTGTTTAGTCACATGACAAACAAAGGCACAATCTCCTTTCATTTCTGCCCGGTTGAGTTTCTCACTATGATAGCATTTACTTTCTGGCTGCAGGAAGACTAAAAAAAGAGGCGGATGTTTCAACCTAAGGTGGTTTTTCTGGCATATTTCTCCAGTATTTTCTTTTCATTTAGTCACTGGAGCAATCGGATTTTCTTAGCTTAATTCAAAGGCATTATTGACAGCGTCAAGTCAACACAGCTTTTAATATTTGATCAATTATAATATACATTCAGGGTTAATACTCCACTTTAGGCAGGTAAAATCTTTCGAATCGAAAGTGTTGGAGTAAGTTCCAGACCAAAGCCCAAATTATATTGCTGAACTGGTCTTACGTTCTTCGTCTTTTTCTCCGGGATTTGTTTAAGGCGTCTTTGAAAATTTGCATTCCGAAAATGTTGACGAGAGGACTCACCATAGAATTTGCCAGATGGCACCCACGAGCCACACCACAGCTCATTGCAAGCCCTATCAATGATTTTGAGATAAAGAGCTGTAACATTGATTCTGAATAGATAGCGGTGAACAGAAAAGTATTCAAGAAGCAACCAAATATCGAATACAATTAACAATATCAGTTATATTCCAAAGCACTATATTATAACACACGAGAGTCACTCGCATAAATGAAACCTTTGAATGCAAGAATGTTCTGTCCTTTCAGAAGTGTACTCTTTAGAGTTATCTGCTCTAACAAAGCTTTTACCTGATCCCCAATGCTATACAATCAGAGCGTTATTACTCCATTACGGGTAGTTCAAATCGTTGTCGAAAGTTGTGGAGTAAAAGAACCTTCCAGACCAAAGCCCAGACTATTTTGCTGAACTACTGGTCTGGTCGTCTTTTTCTTCAGAATTTGGGTAAAGCGTCTTTGAAAATTTGCATTCTGAAACTGTACACGAGAGGATTCACCATAGAATTTGCCAGATACAGGCATCCACAAGCCAAAACACCAGTGGTGTAAAAAGCATCGCTGACAAAATTCTCTCGTTGAGTACACAACAAAAGCAGGCATCCAAAACACAAGCGATGAAGCAATTGCTATAAAAACTGTTTTTGAAAATCGTAAATTGTGCTCCCTTGATCGATGCCTATGATTGTCTAACTCCGCGGGTGGTGGTGCTCGCAATCGAGTGCGTATGCTTAGGTAACTAACACAGATTATCAAAAAGGAAATAAGAAGGCATGTCCTAAAAGGGAGGAAAACATATTCCTCCACTAAATCTGAATAATGGAAAGATAAAACTGTTAAACCAAAAACAACAAGGCCGACGGCCCAGACGATAACGATGCTACAGTTATAAACTCGACTGTTTGTGATGCGATGACGGATTGGCCGTAAGACAGCGAAAGCACGTTCCATGGAGATAAGCGCAAGAAAATAAACGGACGCACCCGAAAAGAAAAGTATAAAAGCCGCTATCGGGTTTGCTCGGCTCCGCATCAAAAAACCGTAACTCTCCCCTACATTATGAGATTTAACAGTTCCAGTGATTAAAAGTTCCGTAATCCCCACAAGTAAATCAGCATCTATCAGCGACTGCGAGGTTAATCAAAAGAAAATAAGTTCGTTTTAGGCGGGATCTCTCGGTCCAGAAAACAAAGATCGTGAATGCGTTTCCGAAGACGATAAGGACGGCTTCCAGAGTGTAGATTATTACCAGGGTAATGTACGTCGAAGTAGGCATATCTTAGTTTCCTTTTTCTGTTGCCAATTTTTTATATTCAAATATGTCCCAAGGGCGGATCTAGGGGAAGGGTGCAGGGGGTGCGCACCCCCCCGAAGATGACCTGCGGTTTTCTAATATAACTGGTATTTTGCAAAAAAAAAACTATGTGGTTTATTGGTGTTGAAGTAGAGCAAGAGACGAGTGCACCCCCTCCTAAAAAAAATCCTGGATCCGCCCCTGTGTCCCTGCCTAAATAAAAAGGAATCAGCTCTCGTACAGTTGAGAAGATATGATGCACTTAGCATAAAATGGCCTTCTTGTATTCCTTCAAAAATCCTTTTGACCTTTTGTTTAGACCAAACAGAGATATTGCGATATGGAAGTAGAATTTCCGTTGATCTTTAGAAATTAAGGCCAGATAACGGGGGCACTCACATGGCCAACGACTGTTTTCTGTAAAATATCTGTTCGGAGAAGCAAATATTGGCTAGAAGTTTCTATTGCTTCACGACGTCTCAGGACGGCTACAAATTTCTAGAAAACTGTTCCATTTATGTACAATTTTCGAAACTTATCTGGTAAATTACCTACGATTTTCTGAAGCTTAGTTTTCCACATTTCACTCTCCAAATAATGCTATTTTTCATAAAAAAAAAAGGAGACCTAAAATCTTCGGATTCAAAAATGTGATTGAGATAGGAATTAGAAAAATTCTTACATTCGTAAAACGATAAATTGCATCTAAACTTTTTGGGAAAATAATTCTGCAGCCCTAGTAATTTCGAAAAGACACAAGTTCCCCTAGGATGACCGAACAGATAGGTGACAAATTTTATAGCGCAGCTTAGGATGTATTTCTAGAAATCTAAAAGTACTCTGTGTAATCTAAAAAGTGTTTTCGACGTATTTAGGAGGAAATCGTCGTTGGGTGTACCTGAGATAAGCTCAGTCAATTGGTGGTGTTGTGTCCAGGTAATACTCAGTATCTTGAGTATACAAGGTGTTTCCTCTTATACGGTATGCCCTAAAGCTTTTTAGTGAACGCCTTTCCAAAGATGACAATGATTGCTTGCAATGTGTAGATAACCATAAGGACACTTATGCACGTTGAAGTAGGTATGTCAATAGGCTATTTCCGAGTTCAAAACTTTCCTTTCAAAACGATGGTGAGTGCAATGAGTTTTATTTGCTTGAGAATAATAACAGCTTTATTAATGTGTCAGTGTATTTAGTTTTCACAACTAATTGGGGACATAACAACAAAAAAAAGAAATTCATTTCCATTTTAGTGGCTTCGCACTTAGCCTCGCTTTGAAACAGAGGATTGAGGCAACTCCGAAATGTTCTATTTATCTATCCAAATATGCCCTGTCTTGCCTCATTTAAGCGAATCCAAAACATTGGATTCTGGAATCCACGCCATGGATTCTGGATGTAAGTTATTGGATTCTAGTCGTTGTCAGTGCAACTTGGATTCTGGATTCCAATCGTTAGTGGGATTCCAGATTCCTCTAGCTATATTCCGAATACAAGCTAAGTTTTTGGATCCTATGAACAGAATTTTTCCGGATTCCACTTTTCACAAGCAAACGTTTCCCAGATTCCAGATTCTCTTAAATGGGGCGACCTGTTCTTATAAATGCGAAACAGTCCCCACACAGTTGAAAGTTATTTTGCAGTTATCGTAAAGAATTGCGGGTTTGTTATATTATTTCTCGGTCGAAAATACCTTTTCTTTAGGCCAGTATATCTTCGTTCATACACTCCCTTAGCCCCCTTGAAAACTGTACCTGATTCCAGACCAAACGTCAAGGCAAATACAAATATTCCTTTCTATTCAATTTTCCTAATATGATCTGCCTAATATTGCACTTGTCATTTGTTATCAGTAAAACATGTTACGGCCCCGAAAATAAATTCTCCTTTAGCAAGCACTGCTCTTTGAAACCTGGAGGTTTTGTCCCTTCCCAAGAAGCGCCGCTGCTCTCAGTTGCTCCAATGGCGCGAGGGCGTATCCGTGGGATGGAATGCAGTGCATTATCTCTAAAGTTCCACTGTAGCGTAATCATTTTTTAAGTGCATGCGCACATAAATTGTACGCGCGCAAACGAGTAAACGTGAAAGTTGAGCTACCTATAAGGCACAACTTCCGATCAAAACTTGGCAGTGAGCACTTGCTTTCAGGGTATTTGAGTACTGTTCATGAATCTTGATGAACTTGAAGGGCAATACTAGGTAAAAACATTTTTTCACGAGAACACTTCGGTCGAGTTTGGAAGCTTCTGGATAAATTTTGCAGAGCATGACGCCAGTTGCTTTAGCGGCTTTGGTGGTTGGCGGAAAGCTAGACCGCGGGTGAGGCCTTGGATGTCAAATGTAAATAAAAAACCTCAAAACTTAGTCGTCCGTTGAACGAGTTTTTGTGTTATATTATTATGCTCTTCTGAACGATGTTATTTATGGTTTTCTCGGGCGACCCGACGACCGCATATATGGATCTGACCGGAGACAAAGCATCGGGCAATAACTCTGACAGATAGCCTGAAAAGGAAAAACCTGGCATGTACGCTTGCCACGTCGGTCTACGTTTTCCCTAAACAGGACTTCGTACATGGCTACAGCCACACAGGTTATCCTACAGGGCCCAGCTGTTCGAAGGCCGGTTAGCGCTTAACCCGGGGTTAAATTTAACTCTGGTTTCTTTTCTTCTGTCCAAAAGCATTTTCTCGGATAATTTTCTCTCTTATTTTTAGAGCTTCCAATCATCAACTTGTGGACAAAAAGAATTAAAACTGAAATGCTTTTTAAGCTTTCAAATCTTAATTCAAATCTCGCACTGACCCTGGGTTATCTTAACCAAGCTTTGAACAACTCGGCCCAGAGACACACACACACACACAAATAGACATCATGGAAATCTCAAGGAGAGTACTTAAATCAGTTTTATTGGACCGTCAAACGTTTGGATTTTTTTTACCCCGAGTGAAAAGCACAATAAACAGCGACACACAGAGACACTGCTTTTGCTCAGTGACCTTGGTTTGAATTCGCCACTTATAGAAACGAGAAGGCAACTGGCGCCAAAATGCGCCCCGTAATTGTTTCTGGGATAGTTGCGCCGGTCAGCTGTTGGCCTTTTTTCCCTTTCCCTTGTGACCAGCCCAGAAGTCTTTGCGAAAGTCAACTCGGCCCAGTTTCCTTCTGGTTTCTAAAGTGGCAAATGGCTACATGTACGCATTTGATTTAACTACCCGGCTGTTTCAAATAAAAACCATAAAAACAGTCTTTAGGTAATGTGTCTTGTTTATACAAAAGCTAAACCCAGGGAAATAAATGTTAGTGAATACATTTTATGTACAAGCTGTATAAACTTGAAAAAGGACGAAGTGATAAGATGAATAATACAATAAGCGAGCGATGGAAAAGGGAGAAGAAAGCTGTTCTCTCCCTTTGACATTGAGCGAAAAGACATGTTGTAACTCTAGAATCGAGAAGTCTGGCAAAGAAAGTAGTCAAATAAATAGAAAGGAGAAAGACAGGAAATGTTTCAGGTGAATGATAACAGATTAACTGTACAAAAATGAGCGAGTAGAACAGAAATGTTCGGGTGACTTCTTGCTCAGAAGACGTAACGTACAGCTCCTTAAACAACCACGACGGTAACAGAACAAAAAAACAGGACTCCTGTGTTTCAAACGTCCTTGCGATTACTCTAACTCGCCTCCCGAATTTTTCTCTACGCGAACTTTTCTGGACTCGAGTTCTAAAAGGATTGTATCCAAATTCGAAAAATTAGAACAAAAATCGTCTCCTTGCGTTTATGTCCGTCATAAAATGTGTTGTTAGGAAGATTTACTTCGTTGTCGTGCAGTGAAGGCAAAGATACATACCAAGAAGTGGGATGCATGTGCAGAATTGTTTTGCTCATTAAACTTATTGCTTATTAACCGTTCTCGCTGCTGTCGCTGTCGTGTTTGCGTAAGCTCTTCAATAAAATTGGCCTCATTCTATACTTTACTTCCGAAATAACATGTTCTAAAGAGAACCAATTTCGTTAAGCAACGATAAAAACCGTATTGTACATTGTTCTCATCAGCCAAAACAACGGCCAGTGTTACGTTCGTACTGTTCACGCTTTCACTGATCCGTTGGAGTTTTCTTTGTTGGCATTTTACTGTTCGTTCTAAGATACATGTTCCCGGAACAGCAGATAGTCGATATTTCCCTCTGAATTATGACGATTGATGAAAGACCGCTACCCATTTCTCGAAGTTTTCTCCAAGGAATTTGAACTTTTGTCCAGGTCGAAATACTGCAAAGAAAGAAAGAAAAAAGGAAAACAATGTAAGATGGAAAGATAAAACAATGTTAAGGTGGGGTAAAGTTTCTTATTTTACGTGGGTAACTCGTACAGTACACATTTGACTGACAAACCTGAGGCCGACGGAGTGCCCATTTTACCCCCGTCTCTCCATCAGTGTTTACGGGTATTCAAAGCTACTTTCAGCTACTCGGCGAGGAAAGACGTCGAAACAACGAGGTAACACCTGGGAAACCAACTCGGAACCGTCCTCACAGAAGGCCGCGCAATAACCAACTTTGCTAATCATTGCTCCAGGTATTCTCAGGGTTTTCGGCAGCATTTGGAAGTACCGGAGGCAGTGGTTCAGCTGGCAGACGTGCGTCGTTCACGCCGCTGGCGCGAACGTTGAGTGCCAGAGGCACGAACTCCCGGGGGGGGGGGGGGTCCGGGGCATGCCACCCGGGGAAATTTGTAAAATTGGACTCTCTAAAACGCAATTTCCTGCGTTCCCTCGACCGCAATTGGGTAACCAGGAAGGTCTTTTAAGGCGTTAAAAAATGCTCACAAAAAAATATACATGTGTATGACAGCAATAACCTCTTTTTTTCGATTGTGTGCATTACATAACTAAGTGAGCAAAATAAGGGTCAAGTCTTTCTTTGGTTAAAAAATGGAAAAAAACGATTTTCACACTTGAAAAATAATTATTTCGTGTGTGAACTACCGGACGTTCCATGTCAAACAACCGGACGTTGCGTCCGGCGTCCGGCGTTCGGCCTGAAACGAAACCCCTGTTTTCTCGGTGCTACGATATTTTGATGGGCAAGACAGTTTATTTTTTGAGACTAAAAACAGTCTATTTCTCCTGCGAGATGTTCTCTAGTTGTTCCGTTATCATACAGTAATAGAGAGCTTTAGATTCTGAGACGAGGACGACTACGAGTACGAGATTTTCTGAACACTGAGTATTGCTTAAGCGTGAACTTGCGTCATTTTAAACGTGATAGCCGTCGTTATTCTACCACAAGTTATAGCGAGAATGTCGTAGTGGCAGGAACAAGTTATCAAATGTGAGAAGTTTTATCATTTTGCTATCGGGAGAGGGCTTAACATCCTTCAGGGGAAAAAAAAGTGAAATGAAGCTTTCCAGGGTGTCTTTTTTTGAGAACATGCGCAAAAACTTTAAGTTAAATTTCGTACTCGTACTCGTCATCAAATCTAAAGCTCTCTATTTATAACCCTGGATCTGAGACTCGTCGCCGTCGCCAGAGTCGCGGTTGCTAAAGCTCCCTCATGACTAGAGAGCGACAAATATCAACCTAAGGTGCTCATCTTAAGCCGGAGTATCGGGTTCTCAAGATGCCTAAGAGCCCAGTGTAACTAAAACCCTATTTACACGCGCTAAAAAAATCGGCAAGGCACGGCAAATTTTTGGCACCGTGCTGACGATTTTAAGGCACGGCACTCCCAATTTTCGACGTGTAAACCTATCGGTCTCAAATGTAATGTCGCACCAGAGCTCAAAATTTTAGGGATGCCGAGACTACCTCCCGCTACCTCCCGGAGGTAGTCTCGGCACGGGCAAAGACGCAGGGTGCCAAAAATTTGGCGTGTAGTGCCGATTTTTTTCGCGCGTGTAAATGGGGTTTAAATGTATTTATTACGCATACCTGAGCACGGTCCTTAGTCCCCGCTTGACTACCGTCTAAGGAGACCATGGAAAGAGGCGCTAAGTGTGTGGCTTTCATCATGTCCACGCGGGCCCCACTTAGTGCCATTTGATCCGTGAATGTCAAAAACCCAGGGTACGAAAGCGAGAGTGAGTGTCCCTGATTTGGACCCGTGGTGGGTAACAACTTTGCGGCCTGCGCTTGTTGGGTCCCTAGTTGTTGTTTGTCCAGGCCGAATGTGGCCTGGTTGGGCAAGCGGTGGTGGTCCTCCTGTTGTTTTATAAGCTGTAGGAGGACGTGCTGTTGACTGGGCGTTTGCTGTGCTTGCGAAAATGCTACGCTTGTGGGCGACGGCTGGGGGAGGATTATTTTTTGCTGCTGAAAGCGTGGCTGTAATTGCGGTTGCTGATGCTGTTGTTGTTGTTGTTGGGCGGGCTTCGAAGTGGCCAGCGATGAGACCATAATCGGCTGTAATGTGGCGTTTACATGTGTCGGCTTGAACTGCTTTTCCTGCTGAATCTGTTGAGGAGAGTTTGTCTTCGGCTGCTGCAGAACCAAGCTACCTACATTGAGAGATTGTTTCTGTAAAGTTGGGGATGGAGAAGACGAGGAAATGCCCTGTACAGAACTAAAGCTCGTCTCCGGGCGCTTGACTTGCGGCTCCTTCGTCTTGTTATCCTTGACTACTCCTCCATTTACCATTCTCTGTTCGCCTGATAAAAAAGTAATAATTAAAGACGTTTGTTTTACCCTGAGAACAAGAGGTTAATTTTAACGAGCGCAGCAGGATCGAAGCCACGAGCGGCGAAGATAAAACTCCTCGGTTTGACCGAAACCTGAAACCGTGCAAGAAATATCTCTGGCAATCAGGGTACTGAGGTTTGTTACCATTGTTAACATATATATATTATTCCACTGATGAGAATCTCACCGTTTGGTATTGACACAATAATTTGGTTATAGGACTTCGTTTCGCACACTGAACTCAGGGGTGATCAGGCTGGCGTTACCAAATGGACCTTTTGCGTCCAACAGTTCGTCCAAAACTATCCCCAAAGTAGCCATTACAATAACTAAGAGTGCAACCATCGCTTTTTTCTCCTCTTCTCCTTTCTTCCTCCTCGCTCTTTCTTTTTTCCGTTCCTTTTCCATCGTTAGTGTGATTTTGGAGTTTATAAGGCCCAAACAATTTGCTTTCCGACGCCTTTTCACTCAAATGACGGCAAATTTCGCTAGGTTGGTTTTTAAAAAATCGGCTAGAGGTATATATTTCACCTTGGAAAATTTATTTAACACTGATGATTACCTCCAGTGATGCTCCCTGGCTTAACATTGGCGCTCATGGGGGCCTTGCCCTCACTAACTAAAGGGACCTTTCCCCCATCAGAACTTTGAGAGACTTTCAGCTTAGGTGCCCCGTCAGCCCCTGCTTTTATGGTTCCACGTGGTCCTTCAAGGCTCTGGGTCGTTTTTGTCTCAGTGGATAGTGACCCTTGTGATGCGGCCGTTGCAGCTCTAGAGGAGGTTGGAGTGGATTGACTCACCACACTGGGAGTGACTGTTAGGTTTGTACTTGTGCAAGACATGGGCGTGGCTAGTCGAGCGTTGACTTGCAGTAACTGGTTTTTCCGGTTTGTCAAGGAGGCGAGACGCTCCTCGAGGCGAGTGTTGTCAGCTTTCAGCTGATGAAGACTGGACATCAGTGAAGCAACTGCAAAAAAACGCATACGAAAGAGCCATAAAACTACACTTCCACCTACAACATTCGTTGTTTACATGTCGGTACCTTCACAACATTGAAACCTAACTTCATTCTCACTACCTGGCCCAGATTGAGTGGTTAGAGAGTTGTAATAGAAGGTCGTGAGTTCAATACTTTCTTTCATGTCTGGTGTTGCATCTACTGTCCAAAAATTGAAGTTTACAAGGTATGTTACATGGTTCCTGAATCTCAAAGAAACTGGACTAACAAAATAGGGTATTTCCAAAATACGCCGTCATCTGAAGAGAAGAATGTAGAAAATGCGTAAAATTTTGGCTTCACTCTTCTCGGTTTGTCATTTGAAATTGGCCCTTGAAAATCATCCTTGATCCTTGAAAGTTTACTATTTACTTGAATGATACGCGTTTCCTCATTTTACTACACTGATACTTACAAATATAATTTGGTAAGGTTCCACATAAAGACATATACAGCTATTTCGAGAAAGGTTGTCGGATAAATAGCACGTGACAAACCCGAAAGGTATTGTGGGTGGTTTTGAGTTCACTTTTTTTTCAAAGAAATTTGATAGAATGGCAGGAGAGGCCATGGACATATGTCTGTGAGTGCTAAAGGAAAGCAAAAAAAGTAGGTTCGGCAGCTACAGCGCCAGGATCAGTGTGTTGATCATATCCCATATTACCTTTCGGGATTGTCGCGTGCACATTTTTTCCGACAACTTTTCTCGAAATAGCTGTATGACAGACCCCTTCCGATATTGTCAGACGTTCTTGTATGCAATTCTTACCATCATATTGGGAGGCCTGTTGCATAAGAAACTGGGCTCCCTGATCCCACTGATACTCTAGCAGTTCCTCCAAACTCGTTGGAAGCTGCCTGCAAAGAAAGGGAAAAATAATTACAATAATCAACCCTTTTGCTCCCAAGAAAACTAAAAATCAGATGTAAAAAATATCGACATTAATTTTTAGAATTTCTTTTGTCTGAGAAAACAGACAACAAAAAACGTCTGAGAAACGAGCTCAGAAACTCCATACTTATGACGCGTCGCTACTTCTAACAGGGTTCGTACAGACTTTTTGATCCAAAATTCAAGACTTTCTTCCAAAACAATAATTTCTTTTCCCAGACTTCAAAAAGGTGATCAATAGAGACCTTAAAACGCAGGAACAAAGCTTCTTTCATGATGCGCTGCAAAAAGACGGGCGAGATCGAATAAGATTTGACCAAAACAAAAACAAATTCATTGATTAAGCACTTGTTGTAGCTTTCAAAAAACAAAACAAAACAAAACAGAAACTCAAGACTTTTACCATTTTCTACCAACTCTATTTTCCAGACTGTATCCAGGTCTGGAAATTGCTGGGCAAATTTCAAGACTTTCTCAAGAATTCAAGATTCTTTACGAACCTTGTTCTAATAATTAGTTGAACCTTTGCTTTATCCAATCAGACCGGGGAGTGACACGCCATCAGTATGGAATTTCTCCAGTGGTTCCCCAGACATTATTTCGCAAGAAAACCAGAGGTGGCTTCCCAAAATTTCGTTTGTTTTCTCAGGCTATTGTTCCACATATCCTTTAATACCCACACTTGTACTAATAAGGTGGTGTTTACATGACACCAGGGCGACTTTCGCCCCGGAACGAGTTCACTCCTGTTCCCTCTCATGGCTCTATATTTGTTTACATGATACCACAAAATGTCATGCCGACACGAGTCACCCCGGCGTGAGTTCACCCCGGTTCTTTTACCGGGGCGAGAATTTCACCCCGGTACGAAATCTTGCAGCGGTATCATGTAAACGCGAAACGACCACCCGTTTCGGTGTGAAATCGGTCTGCCGGTAGACTGGAACGGGTAGCGCATGCGCAATGTTTGCGATTTTGAATCACACGTCTATTTTATCAACATGAAGTGTACCTTCAAATTTCGAGATATTAAATGACTCAGTCATAATGTAAATCCGATACGAAATCAAAAAGTCATCCCGGTATGAGACTCGCGCTGGTGCGAGTTTTCTCATGTAAACACCACCTAAATGAAATCACGCTAAATAAAACCTAAAAAAGAATGCCCATGGACCCTCCTGCAGCTATTTGTATTTCAGATACTTACAAGGGGCCGGGGTTCACATTATTGGGTCTTTGTACATGCCCATTTTCCAACAGTCCTCTGTTGCGGGGCTGTGGAATCATATACGGATTAGGACTTGGCGTCCGGGGACCATTCTGAGGAACACTGGTCCCTTGGTTGCTCCCACTGAACATACCCGGGCTTGAAAAGCTGGGATATGAAGGCATTGCCGTGGATGTTCCTTGAGAATCTTGGGGAAAGGTAGAGGGAAATGCTGTATTCAAGGGAGACGTCACCAGGTTAGCGGCAGAAGTACGAACGTTATTCTTATGATCTCCGGTTGAAGCATTTGCCTTAGATTTCAAGGGCGGTCTGCCAACTTTTCTCTTCGGTTCATCACCACCCTTGTTAGCAGGCCGTTTCTTGGGCACACTGCTTGCTGGCGGTTGCTTTGGGACACTACTCGCCACAGGCTGTTTTGGGACACTACTCGCCACAGGTTGTTTTGGGACACTACTTGCCGCAGGCTGTTTTGGCGTTTGTTTGGGTGTACTTGTCACAGGTGACATTATCACGTCCATTGGTTTCGTTATCTCAGGAAAAAGAACATTAGTGGCAGTCCGAGAGATTTCTTGCAAGTGAGTGGTGACCGTTTTAGGAATCATTTCTGGAACAAGCACTGAGGATGACATTGCTCTCGGAGAGGTCAAGTCCTTGGTGGACAACACTGGACCGTCCTTGGTGGACAACACTGGACCAGCACTATCAATTTGAACAGGTTCCGTAGGTAACTGTACCAAGCCTGGCAAGGGTGACTGTCGTGGGCTACCGCTTGAAATGCTCGCAGGTTTTTGCGTCTCTGGTGTTGTCTTTGCATCTGGAGACTCAGTTGATGCTTTCACAGTCGAAGGCTTTCTACCTCTCTGTTTTGGCGTAGAGGGCTGACTTGATGAACCAGAAGCACCGTTTTCAGGTCGTGTTGACTGCTCGGTAGATGCCGCTGCAGCGCCAGTGGAAAGTCTCGGCTTGGGAGGCTTCTTTTCCTTTTCTTTATCAGTCTTGTTTTTAGGTTTCTCTTTCTCTTTTTCTTTTTCTTTATCAACTTTCTCTTTTTCTTTGTTGTCCTTTTCTTTTTCTTTGTCAGTTATTTTTCCTGGTTTGTCTGTTGGTTTGGTGTTGAAAAGAATGCCTTTGGCCTGTTAGGGAATTACAAAACTAATTTATTATCAACAACAAATACACTTAAAACCAGGTTTTAGGACACCCGCTGGATTTCAATATAGTTTTCCTTTTGGAGGCAGAGGGATGGGGAAGTACTGTACTTGTATTTTTGGTAATCACTCGTGCATCAAAGAGCTTTATTGTGAAACTAGACACATTGGCAATAATGATTTTCCAACCACGACACCGCGGCAGGATTAGCTCAGTCGATAGAGCGCTTTACTGCAGAGCGGGAGGTCGCGGGTTCCATTCCCGGGGCCGGACCAATAACTGAGAAATGAAGGTACTTCCTTTGCCCTGCAGACGGCGAGACCTTCGCGTGGCTCGGATGACCACGTAAAATGGCGGTCCCGTCTCCATTAGGAGACGTAAAAATAGTGTCCCCAATTAGCACTTTCGTGCTAAATACATGGACACTCAAATAAAGTGCTTTTTTTTTAGTGTCACCTACTCAGCTCAGCCGTAAAGGTGAATCTTGTTATGGCCTAATTTACAGCTCTGGATTTTACCAACAACATCTATCCCCTAGACAGGATATGTAAGTGACATTGCACCCAAGGGTTCACTGACCTTCTATACATGTACTGTTTTAAGCTCGTTCTGGAAAAATTAAATGGCCTTAAATTTGTGTGCTGAACCCAATGTTGCCCTCTTTATTCTTAAAAAAATTTTATAGTACTATGGAACTAACCACCTGAATGCCAAAAAATTCTAACGCACGCTATTACATGGCTACAATAGTGTTCGTGGCCGCTGAGCGAACAAAATTTACTTGTAATGACCAGAGATCATCATTATAAGCAAGGTGTCAAAGGCATATGCAGTCATCGACTGTGTTTAATTTGATAGTGGACATCTATGTTATGGTCAATTGATAGCTGTCAAAAAAGGGTACGCGCTGAACACTGTCACATGTCTGTATGATGGGCTGAAGTCAGGGTTCGTACAGATTTTTGGATCCGAAACTCAAGACTTTTTCCAGACTTTTTTCCAAAACAATACTTTCTTTTTCCAGACTCGAGTTTATCAAAATGTGATCAATAGAAACCTAAAAGAAGCAGGAACAAAGCTTTTTTCATGATGCCCTGCAAATGTACAGGCGAGATTGAATAAGATTTGACCAATAGAAAAAAATTGTACTCATAAAGCACCTTCTGTAGCTGTGAAAGAAAAAATCAAGACCATTTTCCCAAACTTTCTCTCCATTTTCCAGACTTTTTCCAGGTCTGGAAAATTACTGGGCAAATTTCAAGACTTTTTCAAGAATTCAAGACTCTATACAAACCCTGTCAAGTGTAAAACGCACTGAGGCGACGTGTTTTTTAAGTTATCTGCTGACCAGTTATTGGCTTTGATTGATCACAGGCTCAATTACTTCAGGTGTTCTACATTATTGCACTAAAAATACCATATAATAAATAACTTATTAACCTCATCCATTCAGTCATCACAGGGAAATCCCAGACTGAGGCATTGATGTATTGACCTTGCTATCATTAATAAATTAATAATATTAATTAATATAGATACAAGGCCTCGGTCCGAGATTGACCTGTAATGATCCAACTGATGAGGTTAATAAGAGTGGTATTTATTTTTTGGCCATGTCTCAAAAGGACTGGGAACAAACAAATTCAAGAATTTGATTGGCTAAAATTGATTTTGACCGCGGTCTAGATTTTCCCATCTACACCGGCATCTAGACCGGTCTTGTTGTAACAGTTGTCCTCAAAACGTTACAAACAAAGAATATCAAAAAATTGGCTTGTGCCTGTTAATAATACTAAATGGAAGAATCAGTGGACCTTCACGAGGAAGCAGGTAAAGAAAACAAGCAAACATTGGCAAATTTGAGTCCTTCCGAGGAAGCTACAAGCAAAGATGAAGTCGCAATTGATGTTTTTGTTCCTTTGCTTTCTTGTTTGGCCACATAATAACATCTTATTAACCGAACTAGGTCAGTCTGTATGGGAGAATCTTGACCTTGGTTGCTGGTACAGACCTCACTGCGTTCCGTCTGTACTAGCGACCTCGCTCAAGATTCTCCCATACAGACCTGCCACTCGGTTAATAAGAGCTAAGTAATCAATAAAACATCAACAGACAAAACCAGTACCTTTTTGTTCCAATGGAACTGACAATAACCAACATACTTGACAGTAGGTCCTGACTGGCCATCATTTTCTTCACATAACAAGCCAGAGCTCTGAGCACTAAAATCCAACACAGTACAGTGTATATGACAACTATGAACAGGAATCACATTTACTCACAACCTGTGCATAATATATGTAGAAGGAAAAATTTATTAATGCCAGATAAGCAACACAAAGCCATACCAAGTAACATGGAAAGCATGCCTGCAGCCAGTCTTGTTACAGTTCATACAGGCTCCATGTGCTGTTTTACTCTCTCTTCCTCTTTCTTCACAAATATAGCAAGTCTGATGACAAATGCAAAGATATAACAAACAAATTAAACCAACTGGAAGGATCACATTAATCCACTTGAATGCAGAAAATTACCAGCATCTAATTTTCCTTTTCCTTATACATGTAATACACAAACAGTATTTCTGCTTAATCAAAAAAAGAAGAGTTGTAAGGATAAATTAAACTGATCACCAGAAGATATACATCTTGAACAGGCTCTTTAAACAAGGAATATCACAAGAATGTTCCCCTTAATTTTTTGTTAATTACCCTAGAAGTACATGTACAACATACAAAGGTTCGCTCATTAATGAATACAAGCTAATGATGTTCTGTTACCAATAAATCATAAAAGGACCCATTCACAGGGTTGTCTGAAAGTTTTGAGGTAGACAGCTGAGTTGTCAAAGTAAGTGGCCAGTCCAGGGATATTTTATTTAAAAAAATGCCATCTGTAAAGAAATGCAAAGTAGAGTAGCCGGCCAATAGTAACAAGTAGGCAGTGATTTTTGCCGGCAGCTAGTTACTTTTGACAGCCCTGCATTCAAGAGCATGGGCACGATGGCACACACTGTCATCACAATCTCTGTCCTATCACATTAGGGCCATTTATACGAGGAAAAATAAGACGAGAACAGCTCGTATAAACGGTTCAAGTCTTATTTCTGTTCTTGACTCGTTTTCATGTAAATGTTGCCCGTAGCAACGGCAATCCAACATGGCGCGCCAAAATTTAACGCATGCGTACTATGCGTTCGCGTCTTATTTAAGACGTGAAGGTCATTTATACGAAGTTTTTCTCGTCTTAGCTAAGACGCATCTTATCTAAGAACAGGTGTTAAGGGCTGTTCTAAAAAAAGACGTGTCTTAGCTAAGCTGCGTCTTATTTTAGATGAAATGTGCCGTTTACACGGAAAGTTCGCGTCTTATTTAAGACGCGTCCTATGTAAGACGCGTCTTATTTTTCCTCGTATAAATGGCCCTACTGTCCTTTTAATGCTAAACTTGGAGTTGCCCATCAACAGCATATCAGAAAAGAGAATATGGGAGGCTTACAGGAGGTGTGGTAGGTTGGATAAACCTTGAGCATTCACAAGGAGCCAAATTAATAAAGAAAACCACAACTGAGCACTTTCGTCCAAGTTTCAAGTTGGTGCCTCACATTATTCATCACTACCTAGGAAATCTTGGACAAGTCAATTTCTTTGACTTGCTAACTTAGTTGTAAATTGAGTACAAAGAATTTTTTGCATTAGTCTATTTTAATATGGATCACAATAAACATGTTTGCAGTACCTTACAGAAGCGATCATGTGGCACTGAGGCCAAAATTATTGGCTCCATTGTTGTAACATTTCCAAATCTCACTTCAGGAATGTATAGTGCACAAACAACATGCGCCCAGCCTGTTAACACATACAAAAAGTTACTGGAAGGTAACTTGAATACATACAACTGTACATTTGTATGCCGACATAACAATGTTCTCATTATGCACAAAGGCCAATCAGAGTATAAAGGCTTTCATGTAGAGAGGTACATTTGGTCCTTCAAAGCTTGATAGCATGGAAAAAGAAGACACATTCAGCCAGTCACAATTGATCGTATTTAAGCCACATTACGCAAGCACAAATTTGAAAAAGTTTTTGACTAGAAAACTTGACAAGTTTACTTTATTTACCCATTCCCTTGTTGGCTGAATCTTGGAAAATGTGTCAATTTTTTTTTTCGATTAAGCTGACATTTCAAGCTAGAAAAATCCATAGTTTGGAAAGCACCTTTTTCGCAAAAATAGAACTGATTATGTGAGCAAGCATTTGTGTACAAGACTTCATGACTGGTAAGAATTTCTCTTTTAATCAGTGCCATTTAAAAAGAGTTTTGCAAGCCCTAGGATTTCAAATCACATGGATAACAATCTTTTGGTTCCGTGCCCAGAGATCGTGGGAAACCAACTGTAACAATTTTTTGGTTCTGTGAAAATTCATGGGAAACCACTTTTATTTCTTTTAAAGAACAGAAATACGTTGTTAAACATACTTTAAAATTAAAGCACATCATAGCCTGCGTAGCAGGTGCTTGGAAGTAGTGGGCACAAGAAAAAACGAGCGCGCGAGAAGGAGACACGCAAGGGGAGAGGAAGCGCCTGCACGGAAGGTCCCCGAAAATCGTTTCCCGCCCCCTCTCTAATTACTTGGCAGCCGTTGAGTGATCTGTCAAAAGTTTTGACAGAAAATGACTGACCTTGCACAAACAAAGCAAGCTGCCAAAAAATGCTGTACATTTTATCTTCGGTCTAAATATATCTGTTATAAAGATCAGCTGGGTTATCTGATTATAGAGCGATGGAGCAATAAACTGATGGTTAACACACAGCTTTACATCGTTTTTTAACATGGGCACAATAAATAGGAAATAACAAAGTAAAAACTGGGTATCTTTTAAAGAATGCATGCTGTGTATTATAAAATCTAAAAATAATGTTCTGGCCAGACACCAACGATCACAGCGTAAGTGGAAAATGACCATATTGCTTTTACTGCGCTAACTGGCAGCCGTTTTTGGAGCAGACATGTCTTACTAAGGGGGACCTAAACCTCAGAACACAAACTGTACCGACATGTTTTCTACTGTAGTAATGAGACATAAACAACAGACCTCAGGTCGCCTTCGAACGGCGAATAATACTATAGTGAAATGTTTTTTTCAAATTCATGCCCCTGGTATTAAGTGTTTCATTTCATCAATCATGTCCAAGTTTTGATGGTATACGCTCCATCGACAACACAAGCCGCCAAGTTCTCCTGAGCAAAGAATAATTATTTCCTCTGATCTTCATTGCAACGATTCGCCACTTCTGTTGATGCGTATCCGATGTCAATTCTTTCCATCGTGAATACCATTTGAACACTCCAACTTTTCTTTGAGATTACAGCCACATAGTCCCATTAAACCAGATTGAAGTGACCTCCGAGACCTGAACTTCGATTGTATACAATTTAGTGGTTTCAGGACCCAGTGGTGTAATGCAAGATCTTCACTACGTTGTCCATGTACTATTGATTGACAGTTTTCTCGCCCCGCAGGGTAATTTTTCCTTCGGGAGCCTCTCGACCAATTGGAAATATCTGCACTCACAGAGTGTGAGTTGAAACGATTTTCGGGGGCCTTCTGTGCAGGCGCTCCCTCACCCCTTGCGTGTCTCCCCCGCGCGCGCCCATTCTCTCTTTCGCCCGCTACTTCCAAGCGCCTGCTATGCAGGCTAAGCACATCAGTATGTATTATTCTTTACAAAAACATTTCAATGTCTATTAAAATTATCAATTTAAGAGCTAAATGTGTGTGCATTAAAGTGTCTAAAGCCCCAGACTCCTCTTTGATCCAACTGAAGAAGTAAACTCGCTTGAAATGTTCACCACAGATCTTGTCTATTCACAAAAGAGATTTGGGCCTCTTCATCAGTTTCAGGATATGTCACCGGGAAACTATGTTTTGGTTCCGTTATTTCAAGATCACGGTAACAACATGGTACAAAAGCAATCATTAGTGCAAAATCCTAGGGCTTAGTTTTGCATTTTTTTCTTGGGAAAGTTAATATATAAAAGCAATAGAAAACTTTTTTCCTGTATTTGCGTAGCCTAATAAAAGCACAGGAGGGGTTGGGGGAATTCTCAATAGTTAAACAAAACCTAGACTTCGTCTTGGGTTTGCAAAACTGTCTCGAATTCTCCCAACCCCAGTCTAGTGTTTATATCAGGCTATGCAAACACAGAAAATGTTTCTATTGCTTGAAGGCCACGTCAACAAACTGGCCTAAACTCAACTTGACCATGGATCTTTGTAGAAAAAGGAAAGCCTTTATTTCAAAGTTGGTTGATTTATTGGAGGATACCATATTTCCTCAAATAATAGCTGTCCCTCGATTAATCGTGTACATTGAATAATCACCCCTCTTGGACAGAGATATTTAAAATAATCGCCTCCCCGCCGCTCCTCTCATCATCTTCTCTTCCTTTTATCCCCTCCCTGTCAAGTTGAAGTGCAATGTGATTCATGCCAGACTGATCAGTGATGATTCAAGCTATGAAAATTAATCAAGGAACTAAATTTGGAACACTTAAAAAGCCCATGATCAGTTAATTCAATGTGATTATTTTTTCATTTAATGACAAAATAAAACAAATGACTTTCAGAGAGCAATATTTGGAATAATATTATTACCTTCCGCAAATAATCACCTTCCCTCGAAAAATCTCCCCCTTTTTGTTCAAAAAAAGAAATAATCACCCCCGGCGCTTATTTGAGGAAATAGGGTAATGATGATCGTACTTGGAAGAAGGGGAGAGACAGGGAAATGGATAATGCGAAGAGAGAAAAACGGGCAGTATCTAATTGTGTTTGGTGGAAGAATTGCATATTGAACATACCACAAGTTATAGAAAAATGATAGCATATCTGACATTATCTATCTAGCACTACTGAACATGTTTTTAAAAGTGTCAAAGCAATCATTTCAAAGTTTATGCAACTTACATATAAAAAAGGACAAGCTCTGGGAATGGGGATTCCAATGTCTTTGAAATATAATCTATGTATCTGGTACAGGACCCATATTACCAAAAATTGAGTTTCTTTCTGCTAAAAGTAAATGCTCTAACCCAGGCTTTTTACACAAGTCATTGACTTTAGGTTCATTCTCCTGATGTCAAATGCAATAAAAAATTTAAGGATTAAATAAAGACACCAACCTCCAGTATCTGTTCTCTTCAATGCTCCCTCTTTATATGGACATAGCTCACATTTCTGTGCAAGCAAATCAAGAACCAGAAAGTTAGAAGGAATATACCTATTCATTCAATTATGACAGTTAACATTAATGCTTGTGCAGTTTTCTCAAGAAAGCCAGAAAATTTTTGGGCTTCCTTTTCACAACTGTATATATTGTTGACTTTCACTACGATGATCTTTTTTGGAGAAACATAGAGAGTTCTTATCTCTAGTTCAGCGCTACAAGATATTTTTTGGAATAGATAGCCTTCCTTTTTCCGACTTTTTTGAAATTAGTAAGTGTCATCTAACTAGAGCTAATCACGATTACAATTTTTATGTTAAAGTTGCCATCCTAAATTGCTACAAATATTCTTTCTTTGTATGGATTGTTAATGCGTGGAATAACTTGCCTAAAGATGTTGAACATGCAGGATCGCTGACTTTATTTCACAACAGATTAAGGATTTATATGAATATTAATTAATACGATTGTAAATAGTTTTAATTAGGATGTGCAAATAATGTTTTTTATTCTAGTTTTTAGGTTTTAGATTTTTCTCTCTGTATATAATCTTAATTTAGATTCTAGATTTTACCTTTTCATCTTTTATTTTGGGGAATCTTTTATATAGGGTTGACCTCCAGATATCCCCTTTCGAGAGATATTTGGAACTTCAGTTTTTATCTCTTGAACAAAGTATTATATTGTATTGTATTGTTTCTTTGCATTTATTTCTTCATTTTGCAGTTCCAATATATGAAATTATCATTCCATGCAAAATTTTCTTCCTTTTTTATTGGATGATTGTGCACAATATGACTACAAATTAAATAAATGCCTTTTTACAGCTCATGTGCAATGTCATCCAGCTGCGTCAGGCTGCAAATAATATTCTGCTCATGTGTCAATGAAACCACACTTTTATGCTTCTTGCGATCGCTCTTGTGTGAAAATGGTAGATCGCAATAAGTTTGCCTCAGCCTTCTGCTTTGGCAAATTATTGATCTGCTTGCCACTGACAAATTACAATATTTGGCTCAGCCTCGTCCAATAACTGTTAATTATATATTCATTGATTCAATATTTACTCAGTGAACCATCATTTCTAAAGGCCAAAGAAACAATGAATATTTATGCCATCTAAGGTTAGTTACATGCAACACAAGGCCGTTGTTACAAGCCAAAAATTTAACTGGTTATTAGATAAATTATGCAAGTCCTAGTGACTATGGTAGAAACACGATAAGTCGATAACACAAGAAAAATCTCAAATCCCTAGTTTTCCCATTTTTCCTCTGTTTATTTCAAAATTACAAAAAATAGACTGTTAGACTTTCAAATTTAAAAACATTCAAACTGAAAATTGACAACTTGTACATGATTATCAGGAAGTAAAACAGATTGGCTCTTCTCTTAAACTAATGATAAACTTCGTACGAATTACTCTATGGACATAATCTGAATAACTGAACTGGAACTGTCAGCATGAAATCTACAACCTACATGTAAGTCAACCTGCAGGTCACGCCAACTTGTAAACAAGAAGTTCGTGACAATTCTCCCTGTTAGAGCAACGCAAAATTCCTTTTATCAATAATTTTGAGGGAAGGATTCCGCTAAACAATCATCAATATTGTCGTTTCACATGAACAGGGGCTGTCAATAATAACATTTAAACAACGTAAAGTATATAACTCACTACTCGAGCGATTCTCTCCTGAGACTCGCATTTTCGACAAAACCACGGTCCTTTAGGTACATGAACGATTCCATAGCAAGCTGATGGTCAAAAAAATAAAACGATCAGAGACATCTCTTCAGTGAACAATGAAAAAATAATAAACAGCGCCAAGAGCAAGCACCTTTATGCACAGCAACATTGCAGCCATGTCCGTCACAATAAACCAACGGGTTTTCTTCCCATCCTCTTTCGTCCGAACAAACACAACAGCCCCCTATCATCTCCTTTACCATGTTTGGAAATCACGATAATTATGAAGCCCTTTCAGGAGCTCTTTGGGCCCGATTTACAAGAAATCGGTTCGAAGGGGACAATAAAAGTGCGCCGCTCCATGTATTACATGGTTTTTGAAAACTAAAATGGACGCGCGATGCAGCAGCACATGCTCGCAGCGCGACTGCGTTGAATGGAAAGTCGCTGACCAAACGAGGCTGACTGTGGACCCCAGGCTGTGTTGTGTCCGGTCTGTCCGGTCTGTATGTAGCAAATTCTCCCGCAAATTCTCAATCTTGGACAAAATGAAACGGAAATGCAAACCCCCTTCCCCGCAAAATCAAAGATAAAGTCGCGCAAATGTCTTTTACTTTGGGGAAAGGAGAGAGATTAAGACGTTCAAATTTTCCTTTCAATATTTTTGTTCAATATTTTAGTCTGCAAACCACCCGCCTGGTTCAGACTCATTTTCGCCGGCCCGTGTACGAACTTTATGCAGGAGCCTATGACATGTGGTGGACTGAAGGCCTCGCATGGCCAAAAAAGCCGCTCGTGCGCGCGTTGAAGTAACCTGGGGCCCGTCTTACATTAAAGATCGAGATTTCAAAAGTTTTGCATCTTACATGATAAAATCAGTTAATGAAACAAAATGGAGTAGCCTTGCTAGCTAGGATCAGCGCTCTTATTCTTTATATTTCGATTGAATATTTGTTTTCGGGCCTGAAAAGTTACAGGGACTTTCGAGAAACGGGCCCCTGACTCGGAAATAAAACGAGAAGAAAAAAAGCTTTGTTCGTGTCTGGTTCAGTGTCAAACTAGTTGGAAAACCCTGCGAATGTATACACACCGATAACGGTTCTTGCCTTGCGTTGATACTTCCGGTAGTCTTTCCGCTATCCGGTCATATACCAACTATATACCATATATATAACATATACCATATACTACAGTTCGCCAAGGGGAATTTTCGCAATAAAATTATTTCGACCAGAAACTCCACTATAACGAGTGAGCTACAGTAACAAATCAGCAAAAACAACAGCGAATTTCCAGATTTTTTCTTTTCTTTTTTCTTCACCTTCACGGATTTAATGAAGAAGCGGAGAGTCGCTAGTAGATGGCCGGAGGCGGGCATACCCGCCATGCGCCAATGAGTCAGAGGTGGCCTTGCTGTGGGGGTGGACTACCTTTGGACAATCTGGTACTTTGTCTTCTAATTATTCCCTTTAAATTTTAGTTTTCAGCAACCCCGAAATACAATTGCTCCATAATTTAAACACCACCTCCCCCGCCAATGTTTGTTACCGCGAAAACATTCATTCACCCCACCCAAAATCTCAAACATTTATTGGAGCAGGGTCATGGGCTTCTGATTGAAGCAGAACATCATTGAGAATTGAAATCTTAGCAAGAGCTGGGAGAAAAAGGGCATTTTTGCGTCATTTTTTCGCGCCCTTTTAGAGACTTTCCCTCGCCCCCACTATCTGCTCCAGCCTCGGCTCGAAAAGACTGGGACGAGTATTGACTGGAGCTGTTCATTTCCCACGAGGCACTACGCGTCACTAAGCTGCGTTCAAGCTCAACATGGCTGCGAATCACCAGCAACAGATGGATTCCGGTTCAATTTCAGGCCGCGTGGACGTCGATAATCCGCCGTTTTCTCGCATCTTCATAGTCTGCAGCAAAAGACATACGGGGGAGGATATGAGGGCCGCATTTGAGCATTTCGGTAGCATCGAAGACATCTGGGTTGTGAAAGACAAGCACACGAAAGAAAATCGCGGCGTGTGTTACATCAAGTTCGCGAAAGCTTCCTCAGCTGCCCTAGCTTGTGAAGAAATGGATGGCAAGCTTATTGGAGAAGACACTAAGCCGGTTAAGGTAAGATAAAATTGTTACTGGTGCAATAATTTGGTTCTGTGTTTAAATTCTGAGGTTTGCGTTGCTTTGAAGTTTGTGTAAGCATTGTGACAACTCGCTAATTTGCAAGATCACAAACCATGTGCTCTTGCTTAGAGCTGCTTTAACTGATTCTTCGATAAACCGATCATCAAAATCTGCTGAGTTTTGTTTTGTCCCGTGAGAAAGTTTGTCTGATTCAGAGTTTTTAATTGTAAAGTTGTCTTCTTGGAAATTTTGCTAAGTGGAAGGTAGACACTTCACAACTTTTTTCATTGTCTTCAGCGAGGTCGTTTCAAATTGTTAATTATTTATGTCAGGTAACTATTTTGTTATCAGAAGTCTTGAAATAAAGTCGTTTTATTCATCTAGTGAAAATCTATATCTTCACTTTCGTACATTATGTTATTGTCGTTTGTATTCAAATTTCTCAGCTGTGTCCTGTTTGTGTAAGGTTCATGCATGTAAGCTTAAGTTTCTTTCACAAAAAGAATAGCATCAAAACATCTCGCTACGTGGAAAAGTAAATAGACATTTTTCCAAACCATAAATATTTTACGTTTTGTAGATTAACTGCGTAATTGACCATAGATAAGCAAAAAGTTGAACGAAATAACTTTTTCAAGTAAGCTATCTGGTAATGGAGTAAAATATACCATTTTACTTTATGATTTTTTTATGTTTATGTCTTCTTTTCTATATTTTTTTGTACCCTGTGAAGTCCTGTAGAAAGCTCTTTGTTTTATTTGGTGAGGTAAAGTTTTTAAAAATTGATAGCAAATTGCTTGTTCCAGGTTAAATATTTGTTTAGTGGCTGGGCACCTAATTAGATTAAACTCTAAAGTGAATTTTTGCTTTCTAACTAATTTTCATGTCAGAACCTTTTTATTAATTCAAGTGATTTTCATTTTTAAATCTCTAAATGATCTCTCTATCACATGAATTTGAGTAGTTTGTTTGAAAATATTTTAAAAGTACCTTTGGCTTTGATATGTACATACATTGCAGATTTTTTAAAAAGTAAACCAGATATTTTATTTTTTCGTAACAGTATGGCTTTCATACTGTTGTCAAAACCAATTTAAAATTTCAATCAAACATGTGGTTTTAATTGCACCACTTGATTGTTTTAAAAGGAACACACTATATTGATTACAGTGTTGTTATCCCTAGTTGCTAGATAATTTTGCTGATGGTAGTCTGCCAATTGATTCTTTTAGATTTAAATGTACTTTCACTTAAGCCTATTTGGATGAAAAAAAAAATTAAATAGTTTCACCTGTTGTTTGATATCTGTTGAGGCTCAATTTTATCCTTAGTTTACCAATGTATATATTTTATTATCCTTTGTTTCCAACTCAACATGACATAAGCATACATGTAATTGTACCAAAATATTAAACGAAAATAAAGATTAAGCCCAAATTTAAATCAAGACACTGTATGTAGTGTATTTTTTTTCTTTTGTCAAGATGCAGTGTCAGATCTTTGATGTAGACTAGCGGTGATTATTTTTTTTGTCCCTTATACTTGTAGGTAATGATTGCCCAGTCCAAGGTTTCTGGCTCAAAACAGGACTTTCAAGATGATACAGCACTTACCAGACTGTTTGTCATCTGTCCAAAAGAATACGCAGAGGATAACTTGCGGCAGAAGTTCCAGGAGTTTGGCGAGATAGAATATGTTCAGATTGTACGGGACCACAAGACACATGAAAATAAAGGCTATGGCTATGTGAAATTCAAAAAGTCGTCATCAGCAGCTGTTGCTCTAGAAAACTGTGATAAGTCACTAAAAGCAGTTTGGGCTGAACCCAAATCTGCAAAGATTGCTCGGAATGCTGCTGCTGCTGCTGCCGCCTTACAGTCCACGCTAATTCCTCATAACCCATTTCTCGAGGCAAATAGCTTTGCTCCACCACCACCAACACCCCCTGTCAACATGAACATGACACCAGCAGCAGGTCTCCCGGGAATGATGGATTACTACAGTTCTCAAAACCCAGCTGCAGCTGTGGCAGAATCAATAACAACATCACACACTCCCACCCGGCTTTTTGTTAAAGTCTCACCGATGATCAATGCAGAGCAATTGTCGCGCCTGTTTGATATCATCCCTGGCATGCAGATGTGTGACTTGAAGCGGAACTTCACCACCGGAGAATCAAAGGGTTTTGCTTATGTCACATACAACTCTGTTGGATCTGCGATCTATGCCAAGGAAAAGTTGAACGGGTTTGAATATCCTCCGGGTTCAAAGCTTGTGGTTAAATATGCTGAAGATCCTCCAGCAATGCGAAACAATGGTGCAAGTTTGGGTAGTGATACCACTTTCCAAGTGCAGTCACACGGTTCTAAGTCATCACTCTCTGGAAGTTCATATGCAGTGGACTCAGCGGCAGTTTATACGACAGCAGCTCTCCCTGCTCCTTCTCCTTTGGCAGACCCAAACTCGGAGGTTGCCTCCAGACTGTTTATTGTCTGCCAGCCAGCTCCTCCTCCAGAAGCTGCACTTAAAGATGTCTTCAGCAGATTTGGAAGCTTGATTGATGTGTGGATGATGAAGGAACGTAACTTTGGTTATGCTAAATTTGCGAGCAAGGAATCTGCCGATGCTGCCATAGAAGGCTTGCATGGTCATGAAGTTCTTGGTATGAAGCTTAAAGTGATGCATGCTGATCCTCCAAAGTCAGAGGCATCCAGAAAGCGACCACGTACTTGATGCAAGCAATGATGAATTTTTCTGCAAAAGCTACGTATACCATGGGATGGAATGACTTTAAAAAGGTAATGTGCATGTGACTTTGTATGTTTATTTCATGTACAAGACTTCTGTTGAGGAACAGACATACTGGTAATATTATTGAACTTATAACAACTGCACCAAGCACAGATTCAGAGCACTCCAAGCACACATTCTGTTTTCCCAACCCTGGGCTTGCAACACGTGACAATGAAAGATATGGGACTTATGGACTGGACACAAGGGAAACATGGAATTTATGGACTGGACATGAACTGTTTTACTCAACATCACAGAACACATTATGGGACTTTATTGTAACTTCACAGAAGACGCAGACATTACAGACTTTGTCATTGGTATCAAGGATGTACATTATGGCTCGTAAAAATCATTTCTTTATGTGGACTGGACATCACAGAGGAACTAACATGGACTTAACATCATAGGAGATATGGGACTTTTGCACTGGACATTATAGAAGATAAAGATGATAAAAGGTTATGTGAAACTTACATCTGTAACAGCAAAAATTATTGAGGTTATTAACTTAAGAGGTGAAACTATAGAGTAACTTCATGATTTTTAATTCCATGTTTTCTAGATTTCAAGCCTGCATGTTGTCATTTAATTTTATCCTTGGTTTAAATTGTATTTTCTTTCATTTTAATGATACTGTGTGACAATGAGTTTGAAATTAGGAAAAATATAATTTAACTAAGGGATAAAAATTGAACCACACAGGTTGTCATTATTATAAAATTATGATGTTGCAAACTCTTTTAATTAGTTTTAGCCAGGTTTTTTCATAAACAGGTTGTGTTCTTTTGAGCTTGTGTTTTAATGGTGCATTCTTACTGTAAAAATATTTTAAAATAAGAAAATTCGCAGTTCAAATATATATTTTGATCTTTGCCTTTGCTTTTGGACTCTGGAAGCAAGCAGGAAAATGTCCTACAGGTGTCTTTCTGAAGTACACTTGTATTTTTTCTTTTTAGATGGAAATGTTGAAGTTTTGCAGTAGTGACGAAATGATACTGACTGCTTTTCTTGTTTAGTCACCTGTATCTTGCTCTTTTATTCGAAGGCATCACAAAGTTGTTTTAAGCAATTTTGATTAAACAAATTATTAATAGCCAAAGTAAGCCAATAGCTGTCAATAATACAGTAATATGGTTTTACCTGCTAATGTAACCAATACAAGGCAAAATAGCAGATTTTTCTTAGATTCAAATCCTTTATGTTATGTTAATGAGCAGTGATTTTTGGTGATCAATCATAAATTTATTGCTTTGTTTTACAGTAGTTGAAATGTGTATTCATGTAAAGCATAGATTTCCTCTTTGTATTTCATGGATAATACAATGTACATGTTCACTGTTTAAGAAGAGATTCATTACTGGGGAGATTATCCCTTAAAGCCCTTAGATTGACCAACATCAATTTTCTCCTAACCAATTTTTTTCTCCTAATAAGATCCATACATGATCACCAAGGAAAAATGCTTTGATCTGTTATTAAATTCTCACAACTAATTCTTAAGGAAATGTATGGAGGCCAGTCTGGAGAATTTGAATGTGGATTTTTAGGGCTGAAAGCCTTGGTCAACTACAAATATATGACACTCGTATTGTAAGATTTACCCAAGAACATATTGACCTATGGATGAATAACATTTAACTTATATGGTTGCAATTAAAAATGAAAATGGCCAGAAAAAAAGATGTACTGGTCTACAAACCACTTTGTTGGTCTCTGAAAGTGACTGAAGTCTGTTTGACAGGGTAATTATTTCTTTAGGATGGCTATTTGTATCCCCTGGCCTCCCAGTTAAAAAAATTAACAGCGTCGAATGAGTTTTATCAAAGTTTTACCCTAAGAGAACCATTTTTTATAGAAAAGGTACCACTTTTGTGTAACTTCCATGGACAAACTGTTTTTTTTCACATACTTGGAAAGTACGTGTAATAAAAAAACAATTATTTTAAGTAGGTTGAGTATGATCGTCCGGGTGAACGTAGTCCCGAATAGGAATGTTGTTGACAGTAAACTGTTTTTAGTGTTTGCCATTGTGCTCAAAGTACGTCGAAGATAGGCAAAGTTTGATTAGGTCCATAATGTCATCTGTAGGTAATGGTAGTTCAACAGTAGAGTTCTTTATGGCGTTTTCAGTGCAGTATGAAGCCAATTGAAGTGGTGACTGGTAATTGTCATTTTCACATCAAAAGAGTGATATCATCAACTGACGTTATACAACTCACTTTAACTCTGAATATGACTAGCGCACAGGTTGTTAAAAAGTCAGTCACTGTCATCAAGAGTCCTAATTTCAGGACCACGTTCACACGGACGATCATACTCGACCTACTTATGAAACTAATGACTCCTGGGTTAAGACCTTTCACAGTTTTACGTTCACTTGGACGACGGAGTGAACGACTTGCAAACGACTACGTCAGTTACGCAAATACGCGTACAACAACTCTGGTTCAACTACCGCTGCAAAGATCTCGGCTTTGTTCCGAGAGGACTTTGAATTTAAGTCCCCGTTGAACACACAAGAGGCCAGTTAAATCGCCAAGGCCACCTGTAGACGATAGATCCGAGCACGGATGAACGACTGTCACAGAAGACTCAACTACTACAACAACAAAATATAGCTACGACTTGACAAACTTAAACAACTTTTACCGACTACCTTACTTAGCACTATACAGACTATTGCTGACAAACGCGCTGACAAGAGAGCTGAGCAGCACCGCGCGGAAACGAAACAAACTGACAAACAACGCTAAACGACGTAAACCAGACGCTAACTGGGTCAGGAATATTTCTTCCGGTCCCTTAGACGAGATTGAAACACAAGTACTTTCCTACGGACTTAAACACTCAGTGACACCTAAACAAATACCAACAGAGGTTATTGTGTCTAGCGTTGAGGCCGTTCTGTCCGGTCAACACGAGCCTATCAGAATCAACCAAGGTTAAATCGGTACCCCTTTTGGGCGGTGCCTCATCAATATAGGCCATTGTAGGGAGTACCGGCCCCCTGGCCTCTTGTTCTGCTTCAGTGATCTTCTTATTCATGTAATGAAAGCTGCAATGTGGTCCAAGCAATCGGAAGGCACATTAATGCTACAAAAACTAAAATACAGCAAAAAGCACGCGATTGGGATATGCATGCTACTAGTTATACCCTATGTTTCCAACGTAACGTCTATATTTATAATACTCTTGTAATGAAGAGGTGACTATATACAGACGTAATCAAAAAGCCATGGGAAGGGAAAGTGTAGGGATGAGCATTCTTGTCAATATTTGTTGAAAAAGGGGTTTCAAGGCTAGAGACATAAACCATAACTCAAGTCTGCGCTTTAATGAAAACTTCCGAGAGTCCAAGACCTCTGAACCTTAGATGCTCAGCGTAGAGGTCTCGTGTAAAATTCAGGATCTCCTTATCGCGCACAAGGGAAAGGAAGTGTCCAGGGAACACTGAGCTGCTGTGCCTGGACTTGCTGGAGAACAGGAAAAAAAAGTCTCACTCTACTTAACTGTATCAAGAGCTCTTAACCTTCCAATCCAGTAGAGGAATTTTTAGATCAAATGAAATCTCGATGAGATTTAAAGGAGAACTATAAAAATTGTGGTTCCATCCAAAATGTAGCAGAATGACATCCTGTGCATGCGAAATATTAACTAATGCTCACTTTGTTTACTCAGTTTTTAGGGGATGGTTGCATGTTAGCCATGAAGGAACAGAAATACCACTAACCTCATCAGCCACCAGTCCTGATGCCACAGGGTAGAATGGCATGACTGGCTGTAATGTGCAGCATGGAATTACTAGAGCGTTGTTCTGGGTGTGTTATGTTAAATGCGTAACAATATAGAAGATGTTTTAGATCAACCTGATCCGAATGACAGAGAAATTTTAAGGCAGGTTTTCAAGAATGACAAGAATAAAAAGAAACTAAACGTTTTTATCTATTTATTTCGCAGAAAGCGTTCTGTTTTACATTAAAAATGTTGGAAAATATCTGCTCGACCATTCTTTTGTTTATTAGATTCTTTGCCCTCTCCTTTACACGGGCGACTTTTCATGCGATTTATCGGAGATTTTCTGCTCGAGAGTTTTTAAAGTCACTTTTTGGTGGATGAACATTTGCATCATTTGTCCTGAAATATAACTCGAAATATCCCCGGAGTATATTAACGGCCTTTCACGTTTTTCATTTTATAACCCTGAGGCAAAAACAAAACCTTTGGTTGCGCGTTTTGCGAGCGATAATCTATGCTTTGTTCCATGGAACTTCGATACTACGCCTATATCACGGCCTTTTTGAAGGTTTAGTATAATTTTAGGTCACTTTTCCCGTCGAAAGTGGAAGTTCTGCTCCCTCTGAGCACATTCCAAGTATAAGACTTCAAAATGGAAAACTAATACGTCATTTAAAGGTAAACTAAGTTTTGCTGAATGGTTTGTGGGGCTTAATTAATATTAAATTTTTAAACTCGTGTCAAAATCGTTCTTAAACTAAACTGGTCAATGAAAACACCTTTAAACGAGTACACATAAGTTGCTCCATCCGGGTTAATTGGGCTGCTAAGGACGGCGAAATAAAGTCTCTGGAAACCAGATGTTTCACTGGTGCAAACTGCCCTTGTAAAATCAGCGTGCCATGTAGCAAGCGTTCAAAGAGACTTAGTCGCGAAGGTTGAGGAGTTCGGAATGACGCAACCACCGCCTCGTACCCAGACGCTTCTTGGGATTTTTGACGGTAGTCTCGGCACAAGGTTCATGAGTAAGGCTCAGAAACGCAAAGGCGGCAAGGGAAGGCTCAACCTGAAAGGCGGAGCACCGCGACCCGTTTTTCGTCCTTCCCATGACCTCTTGAGCCTCGAATACCGCAGATATTCCCAAGAAGCGCTTGAGTACGAGGCTGACAACATCAATTGAAAATCTTTCGAGCTTTTTGTGCTCGTTTACAAGCCTTCTTCAGTGCGAATTGACCCGCGAAAGAGACTGCGAGAAACCTCTCTGGCTGCTCCCGCTACAATTTTCGGACTTTGGCGTCGCGACACTTTTTTCACCCCTGATTTTCTGCAAGATTCCGGCGCGAAAACAAAAATGGATTAAAAAATTGCAAGAAATGCCAGGAAAAATTGCACACGTAAAATAGGTTGTGCTGGTTGGTTTTTTCTTCCTTCTCTTGCAACGTATTTTGTTCAGAATTGAATGAACGTGCCGGCGCGTCGGGGTGTTTATTCTTAGCAAACTCGTCCACATAGCCACAGGGCTTCTCCCTAAAAAATTGGACGGGGCGCGACGCGGCTCCCAATTTTTTAGGGAAAAGTCCTTGGGATCAGGTTAAATTCCTGGCTGCCAGCGAAGGTCATAGCGCGAGAAAGCAATAATTCGATCAAGACACGATCGGTTCGTTGTTTGCATTTTTTTGTGAGCTGTTGCGATTGGCTACTTTCTCATTTTATTTCCACTGTTTTTAGGATATTTCCATAATTATTTTACCCCGTCCGTTTACAAATATTACTTGGGCTCGTCATTTTGACAACAAAAACGCAACATAGAATATAGCCTACGTGGCAGGCATTGAAAGGGATAGGAGAGAAAGGAGAAAAATGGGGGTAGAGGGTTTCCCTTCCGCTTCTTTCATTCTTTTTTTTTTTTTTTTTTTTTTTCGCCACTTTCATCTACCAGCCACTTCCAACTTGTTTTACCTGCCAGGTAAGCTATACCGGAATTTCTTTTCTTATGAGGCAGTACGCTTAGCTATCCTTTGAAAGTGCCAGTTCAATACCGAATAAAGAAGACCCTGATGTAAGAGTTCTGGTCATTTCGCTTTTTATACATAAACCAGAAGTCATAACTGCATTGTTTTTCTCCGTACTTGATTCAGTATTTAAAGGTTTGAAACAATATTAAACGAGACTTTCAGAGATTATATTGTTCTCGAGCATTCTTTGTATGCCAATAATTGATAGGTTTTTTTTGCGTCTAGCGATTTAGAAGCCTTGTCCATTTTTCCCGTAGATTTGTTTTTTTTTTTTTTTTGCCTTCTTGGCAAACTTTCTTGTTATGTTCCTGTTTTTAAGGAAAACTTCACAAATGAATTTACTTGGACACTATATTTCTCTGTTAAATATAAATCAAAGCTGATGATTTTGGCTTTATCATCGAGGCTTTTTAACGACCAGATTATTTACAGTCACAGTCTTTTCCAATTGGCCCTTTTCACCTCGGGCCCACGTGACATATACCAGGGGCACCCAACGAGAATATAGTTCAAAACCACTAACACATAGCATTGTTAAACGTATTTTGGTATTTAAACGGTAGATATAGGCATATTTTTATCCCCTAAAAATTTTTCATCTGTTCGGATTTCCTAGCTGAAAGTCTAGTGATCCGAAAATTATAGGGATCAAAACTTACCTTTTCGAAAATTTCAGCCAGAAAAAGGCTCCCGAAAATTCTAGGTGACCTTTGTAGGGTAAAAATCCGTTAAAAATAGGCAATTATACCATATTTTAGATGTTCGAAAATCCTAGGAGAAGCAGGCAAGCAAGAAATTTTACAACGAATGTTCCGAAAATTCTAGATCTCAAATCGTCTTCCGAACAGATATTTTTCCGAAAATTGTTGTTGGGTGCCCCTGATATACCTATCTCAAGCCAAAACTGGGAGATACCGTATGTAGTAATGTTAAGTGTTGGTGTTTGTAAACAAAAAACGGCGGCAGTGTTCGGCTGTTTTCTCACTATATCAGATAGTTTTTCGTGCACACGAAAAGCTATTGGGTATAGTGTGAAAAGCAGCAACCCGAAGCCAGAAAATTGAAAGAGCAAAAAGCAAATAGCGAGCCCGCCGATTTTCAGGAGATTATAATAATGACTAGAAAAAACGTGACGGACCGCACTCCCCTCACGGTTCAATACTTTTTCTGCTATATTTTGAGCAACATTCCAACACCTATGAAGATACTTCTACAGTGCCAGTCACCTAAAAATTTGGTTTTTCTAGCTGTTGTTATTTTCTCGTGTTGTTTCAGCTTCTGGTATTTCAAGTTATAAATTGTATCCCATAATTTCAGCATCAAGCAAGGTCACGTCACTGCAAGCTGCAAAGGGTCTATCCAATCAGATCAATCGATCATCAACCTGAACTGGTGTTCGCTTCCCGACCCACTTGAATATTCTCCTGACCCCGAGTCTTCACCAGAGCTATCCTCGTCGACAGAATTACTGATTTCCACAGTTTTTGGCATCTCCATCATTCTTATTGTGTCTACAGGCTCTATTTCACACATAAACACCATTGACCCTATTGTAGGGTTCACACATAATTCATCGTTCCATTGCTTGGCCTTGTCCCTTGAGTAGATGTACATGTGGCCGCAATTTTCGCCCCGCCCGTAAGCGTTGTTAGGTTCGCCAAGCGCCCAGTTGGAGTACATTAAGGGTGAGTGATCGTTGATCCAGGTGAATGTCTCGTCGGAAGAACCACGTAATAAACCTATCCACATAAATCTTGAGAGAATGAAAAAGAAGCGTTTTGAGTTTAGGTCAATATTTTCATGATTCACATCTCTTACGTAAAAAACCGTTTTCTGCGTCGACAAACTCGACCTCAAACTTGGTCAATCACAGAATAATATAATTCATAGTCAAAAGGTACCGTTTAACAAGCTCGTACTGAGAGAAGTGAAGGAGCAAAAAGGTTTCGGAGTTCGATTACTGGGTGTGACTTCAAATTCTTGTTTTCACTTCTTTCTTTTCCGTGCAGCTTAAAGTAGCGTTAAATACCCGTAAAATAGAGCACTGATGGAGAGACTGGTAAAATGGGTACACCGTCGGCTTCAGATTAGTTAGCCTAATGTGTACTATTTCTAGTTACTTTGCCTAGCCCCTGTACGGCTTCTTCCCAGGCCTTCTCGGTCAATGCATTTCGGTGACGTGTCCGAGACGAACGGCTGGGAGACTCAAAAAGGAAAAAAACTCGATGGGACCACGTGACCAGAAAAGCATAGGCCGCACACTACAATGAGGCCTAGAGACTAGGAGTTACCGTCGAAAAATAAGGACCAGGGACCTCCTATTGCAATTATGGTGGCCACTTTTAGGAAATCTCCGTCTAAGAGAGATTTCATCTACATTCGACGGAGCCTTTACGATATCTTTCAAGTCATTCTTCAACTTACCTTTTATCGGAAGCTTTAGCGCGAGCGAGTGAATAGACAAAGTGGTTTTCTTCTGAAGAGCCAATCTCAACCAGGTCTCCTCCATGTTCTTGACAAACCTGTCTAGCTTGATTCCACTGCCTTGTTAACCGGTTGACTACCAAGTAACATGAGAAACGATACCCCGTCCAACCTTGTGGGCATGCGCCAACTACGAATTACAGGATAATAAAAAGCTTAAAATATATTTACACAAATTAGTTTAGGTAATAGCATGATTGGTAGTTATATTTGGCATAAATACCTCGAGTGATATTTCAAAATTGTTATACGTAATTTCACGAGCCGGTAGGCGAGTGAAATTCGATACAATTGTGAAATATCACGAGTGGTACTTATGCCAAATATCACGTACAAATTATGCTATTATTTGTTTATACCACTACCCGCAAAAGGTTTGTAATTTTCACATGTAGGTATTTCAAATTAAGCTGAAATAACACTGCTCTAAGCCAATCAAATTGCAGAAATTTCTCATAAACGGTATTATCGTCTCTCTCTAGACCTCGAAAAATCAACTGTAAAAAGAGGCCTTAAAATCCGAGGGCGAGGACAACTACAAGAGAGGAAGAGGTTTGACTAAAACTCAGTTTGGGGGCATTCTAAGACAATGGACACCCAGAAAGCTTCACTTTACTTTATTCTATTTCATTTTTTCACCAGAAAAGCTTGCACGTACTAATATTTTTATTGAAGGAGGTTAAGCCTTCTCCTGATCGCAAAATGGTAAAATATTTAATACACTATAGCACTTGTTTCCGCCACTGTAACATCTTCTCTGAAACCCGCAGTAGAGTGACGACGGCTATCTTGATTTCCCGCCGAAATTATGCTAGTTCCTGCGCGCGCTGCCTGGTACTAAGAAAATCTAGTTGTTTTACCTTCAATTGGTCCTGCGACAGCCTCGATCTCACGTTGACTCAATGCCTTGTCATAGACTTGCACCCGGGATATCCGTCCATTAAAATAGTTCCCATCATTCACAGCTCGCGCGCCCATTCTGGCGTTCTTTGAAGTCGACAGTTTGATATTGGTTCCAATGCCTCTCTGACTGCTCACTCGCTTGTTCACCCACAGCCTCGCAATTCCGCTGGTTTGATCGTACGACATTCCAACATAATTCCACGTCTTTGTTTTTAGAGGATAAGCGCTGTCAATGCAAGTCTCACATTGGTCGTCCTGTTCAACAAACTTTGCTGCTAGGTGACGCTTCGAATTTACCCAAAGGCTGACTCCCCAGCCCAGAGGATTGTAGTTGAATATAGGTCCATTGCCCGACTCGATATAGACCCAAGCCAGCAGGGTTATAGATTCTCTAGCTCTAAGCGCCCCCATGTTTGGGAATTCAATAAAACTGTCGCTCTTACCAGAGAACTGGTACGAGCCGTTAGGATGTCCCTCGGGTCCTGTAGCGAGATGAACTCCACGCGCAATGCCGTTGGGATTGCTTCTACCGCTGACATCCCAAGTTGTGTATTTGCCGTTTAGTGGATACAAGGCAATAGGGACTGGTAAACTTACTGGAGTGGCTGTAAGAAAACAATTATGAACTGTCAAAAAGAAACTGTGTTTAACAGAGGAAGTATAGTCTTTCCGACTACACCAGTCCTCTGCAATAATAAATCCCTGGAGAGGCAAGAGAACAGGAAAGCTTAGATCTTTTCAAATCGTTTTTCCGAGTCAAATTTTTTTTTACAGAAAAATGTATAGAAAATTTTGAAAAGTGGTTCTGGCCCATGAAGCTGCATGTAACGCCTTCAAATTGTTTTAGTAGAATCGTTAGGAGTGAAGCTTTAGTTTATAATTCTTTTTCTTTTTTTCAGAACAGCCGTTTTACGGAAATTATTCGACTACAAACACTGCAATTTCTCACTCGGTTGCCAACTCGTCAAGATGGCTTCCAAAACCGTGACAAGGTCTATACTATCGAGCGCCTGGAAAAGCATCCTCGGAGACCCAGGGGCAGATAGTGGGAGCAAGGGAAAGTCTAAACGGATGCAAAAAAAAAAAATGGTACGAAGAAACTGTACCTTTTTTCGCTATTAGACTTTCCCTTGCCCCTACTATCTGCCCCTGAGTCTCCGAGGATGCTGGGAAGGAAGAGGGTGCGATGGGAAGAGGGAAAAGGCGGGAAAAACCTCTCCTTCTCTTTCCATTTCCAATCGTTTCCAGCGCCTTTTTAACCAATAACAGGCGAGTAGACTGAAAAAAAAGCCGACGTTCCCCGACACCACTTTTGGCGTTCCCCAAGAAATGACATCTGAGGAACGAATGCAGAATTTCGATACTGATGATACGTCACTACCCAGATCTGGGTAGTGCTTCTGATTGGCTGAAAACTTGCTCCGTCCAGTCAGAAGAACAAGCCCGCAGATCTGGGTAGTGAGCCTGGATTTTGCGTGTGCTCTTTCATTTCTTGGGAAAACCAGTGCAGTGGTGGCGTCGCGAAAAATCGGCTGTTTTCTCAGGCTAGACTCCTGGTAGTACAAAGTTGCGAACAGGTGACCTATAAAACAGAGGCGAAATATCATCTTACCTGGTGTCCCCGGCTCAACCGGATCTACTTGGATCACTTCCGGGTCTCGTCTTCCTTCCGGTTTGTCTTTGGTCATCATGGTAACTTTGTTACTCACGTTTGTATATAACTGTCTGTTGAGATGTTCTGAAAACTTTGCTGTCCAGTTGGCAAGTATCGCGCTAAACATCGCTGTCAAAATAAATGCATTAACGTTTACTATGCTGTGGTTCATGAGCTAATTAGGAATAACGCTAAGCGGGCTGTAATTACTGTAATACCCAAAAGGTTTTGCATCAGACCAGCAGTTCACAAAGCACTGACTCTGAATGCGCATGCTCCGTGGGAGCCCATAAACTGAAGCGAGCAACTTTCATGTACTAATGTCACCTTGTTTTTATCGAAACATTTATTTTGAGAACCATTTTAGAGCGAATTTAGTCCCACTAACCAGCTTGTTAGCAAACCCTACAAACCTTAAAATAGTTTATTTTACCTTTTAACAACATTTAGTGTTTCTTTTTGATATCTTATACTTCGAATGCGCTAATATAGCAGGAGCGGAGTTTCCGTTCTGGCGAGAAAGAGCGTATCGAAAAGTAAACACGCTACGTTTTGTGGGCCCCTAGTATGGAAAAAATACCTTATTTCCTGAATCGTTCACTATCATCTTTTGTACTGTAAGGAGTGCGGTATGCGAGTGCCAGGTATGTCACCTCTAGCTCTCCCTCATCTCTTCCCCTAACTCTAGATCCCGCGATGTGCGCGTAATAAAGAAGACTGGGAACAAGTCAGCGGTATCTTCTTAGAAAAGCGCCATCGCCCTTCTCCCATAAGTATCCCCGTCCCTCCCCGTCACGATTTTTTTTAATAGCAAGTAAGTAAGCAAGTATCTTGGGACTAGAAGATCCTCATTTGCTTTCGTAATTCAATGATTTTACCTAACTTAGTAAATGTTATAAACTTCAAGAGAAAGGTTTGGAGCGTACGTGCCCGTTTTCTTACTTCTTGAATGCCGCAATATTCCACGCTGATAATTTTAAACGTTTTTGTTGGAGACAGTTCAACAACACGGAAAGCACGCACCACTAAGCCCTAGAGGCACTTCAGTAATCAGTTTTTAATTATGTATCACCAGACCAGCTGTGATAGTTTGCAGTAGAAATCTAGTTTCAATGATAACAAATCGTTGTTGTTATAGCCTCACGCAATGGAAGGGTCTGTAACCGCATTAGTCTGTTTTAAACATTCCAAACAAATGCCTCAAATACAAGCATTCATTAATGTAAAACTCCCGTCCATTTATTTGGTCTGTTCACTTTAAAGTACGGCAAATCATTTTTACTGTCGAAAAATTCACAAACCCCTCGGGCTCGAGTAACTGATTCCTTTGGTTATTCTTCCCTGCTAATAGGGGAACCCAACGACGATTTCCTCCTAAATACATTACAAACACTTTTTAGCCTATCAAGAGTACTTTTAGATCTCTGGAAATGCACTCTACGCGGCGCTATAAAATTTGTACCTGTTCGGTCACCCTAAGGGAGCTTGAGTCTTTTCAAAATTTCAAGGGCTTCAAAACTTTTGCCGTAAATTTAAGATGCAATATAACGTATTACGAAAGTGAGAGTTTTTGTGATTCCTCTTTCCATCACATTTTTTAATTCGAAAATTTAAGGTTTCCTTTTTTGCACGAAAAATAGTCTAACCTGGGGAGTGAAATGTGAAAAATTAAACTCGAGAAAATCGTAGCGAATTTATTCGATATTAAAGCTTCAAAAATTGTACACGAATGGAACGGCCACATAGAAACTGTTGGCTGTCCTGAGGTAATGGAAACTTCTAAGCAATATTTGCTTCTCCGAACAGATGTTTTAAAAAGTGGTTGGGTGTCCCTGTACTACCGCTGTGCTAGCATGGTCTTTTTTTTATTCATAGCGTATCTTATAGTAAGTGGCTCCAATGCATTGAGTGGTTGGCCTATGAAAGAAACCCTTAGCAGGAAAATGACGTACTTTTCGAGTAACGTCTCTAAACTGCTGCGTCAGGAGCGATATAAGCTCATATACCCTGGCTGCGTACGTAGAATGGTTTTTCATTAACTTTTGCAGAAAGACTGAATGAGACACTGTTTTGAAAGTCACGAGCCATTAACACAAAAAGTATCGATTATCACTTTCCTGTGATGATGTTTATTGTTTTGTACAAGTGTTTGAACAATCGAAAATTGATTTTTGCCCTGTCAGTAGTGACCATAATAAGAGATTGCATGCATTTCAAAAGACGTTCTTCTCGCTGTTCCAAGCATTGTGCTTCTGCAGTGCCAAGAATTAAGTTCGACAAAACGGTACAGCAGAAGAACTGTAGATAACGTTTTGAACTATTGGACAAGGTCAATTCCATGCTACATGACTCTAGCATGGCAGTGATTTAATTGACGTGCTGACATGCAGTGCCCAACTATATTAAATTCTGTGAATTCATAAATTTTAGAAATGTGTACTTTTTGCTTCATTTACCGCTGACTTGTTACTACGTTCCCAATTAAGTTCGACTCTGAATTGAAGTCGTGCTTCTGTTGAACCCCACTGAATACAACTTCGGCGACACGGCAGAAGAAAGACGTATGAACTGGCCTTATGGGTGGAAGGGTTGATCGGGATTGCGTGCGCACGCTTTTCTCCTACACACGCTACCACCGATAACTGATAATTCATTGATCACGCGATAACAGCAGCACGCTCTCCCTTCAGGCGATGTCGATAACAAGCTGCGCTTGTTTAGTGACCGAGCGGAAAAAGCTCATTTCCCGCTGTCAAGAACACTAAATGAATGATTGCACCGGCTTTTTTGAAATACTTCCCTTTGGCAAGTAATCGATTTTAAAGGGATGATATTTTAAGCAGTATAATTATTGAAAACAGCTGACTTATCATCAAATAAATTATTTCTTTGCTTTCTAGTTGGTGATGATTTTAACAGAAATAGTGCAAAAAACTCGTTTTACTTTTAAGAATACTTTCTTCCAGGAGATGGCAACTATTTCTACCTGTTTGTCATCAGTTTAATGTGTTATTTTTTGGTCTAGACTTGGTTGTTTTGTTTTGTCATTTTTTGAAATTTACAAGTGATTCAAATCTACCTAAATTATGATTATTGGAAGCTATTAACAAGTACTTCCTTTGATTAAAAACGTGTTGTTTTAAATGCCAATTCCATAACTGCTCACGATAAGTCAGAAAGGAAGTGCACCGAAATTTGTGGTAAAAGAAATCTTTCGTCCGGTTTGCAATCCGTGACGTAAATCAAGCGCGCTTGTAACTCACGAGAGTTTTTACTTTGCAATCGAATACTATTATTATTCAGATTAAATACAGTTGCTGTTTTGATCTGAAACATGCCTTTCTGTAACAACAAAAACCTTATTAAATCGGGTTCAAGAAATACCCCAACTGATGTTCAGGTCCTTTTTTGCTTGTTAGCGAGTTACGTTTTTTCAGATCTCGAAATTAGTATTTTATAGCCAAGAATTAGACGATGATTGTTTATGGAGATTTTCCAATGCGTTTTTTTCGACGTTGTTGACAAAGATCTTCGCACTGGATTCCGGGAGGCCGGGCGTGGGGGTGGGGGTTCACTGCTTTTATGCCATCATAAGCAAGGATTCGAAGTGAAGTTGGGTATAGCTTTGAAGGGAATCATGAGAACGTATAAAGAAATTTTTCTCAGCTCCGAACGTGAGATTCTTTGTCAAATACCACTTGAAAAGAAAATAAATCCTTAAACAGTAGTGTTGACTTCATTTGGACAAGGTCATTTATTCGCAAACCGAGTAGCCGTGTTTAAAATGGATTTTAGAGGAACAGGTGTGAAAAATTACATGTTTTGATCTAAAATGGGGTGTAAGGATTTGGAGATCTGGGCGGCATACGCTAGCATAGAATTCCTAGGAGTACCCCTTGGACTACTGGATTTTGCAGGGGATAAAAGAACTGCTTTAATAATACTTCCTGTCGGTTCAAAGTTCACAGAAAAGAGCGAGAAACCTTTGCCACCAGAGAAGTGAAAGTAATTGGATTTTACTCAAATCCGACGCCTTAAGACCTTGCGGAAACATTCCCGATCTGTTCAGTATAGAAAAAATGGTCTGCCAAGTAAAAAGCTTCTTAAAACTGTGCCCAAAGCGAAGTCAGATTTTTCAGAAAGGGTGTGTTATACCCCATATGAAAAATCTCCAAGTTCAGTCTCTGTACCTGTCAGTAGTGAACGTGACTATTTAATCGCTCAGCGCAGCGGATGAAAACAAATAGTCTGTTCCAGGTATGAGGTACAAGTTAGAGATAAGAAATGAATTGGATAAACAAAAACAATTATCATACGTAACTACAGCCGTCAGCGGGTCGGTTATTTATAGAGCTTGGTAGATTACTTACAAGTGTATGTTGTCTCCTATTCACGCCCTGAAAAAAAAATCAGCTGTTGCCCCAGCTAATTTTACATCTCTGTGTTTTTGTTCACCGCTGCTTCTTAATTAACCCTTCCAGGAGCACAGAATTATTTCGGTGAATTAAGTAGTGGCTTGGATATATCGCTATTTTTCTGTTGCAATGCGATGAATAAGTACCAGTTTAAGCGCGCGGAAAAAAAAAATTGCAAGATCTAGTAAAGTAGGACTAATTATGGTATTTATCCAAGAGATTTCGATCAAGATATCAGTATGCTTGCCAAGAAAGAAATTGTATTGAAAATCTGTTGTTAAAACGTTATTATAATTCGCTGGCTCTGTTTATAAAAAAAGAACTTTAATCACACGCCAGAAAAGCGTCTTAAAGATTTACGTGTTTTTAGTTTTTAAGTACTCTTGCATTTGACGCGAACAATTTGTTTTGGGTCCATCGATTCTCCATGACCTCAACTCTGGATGAAAGAATGCCTTCATATCTCCTCACGAAAACTAACTTTTGACAGTTCTGTTAAGATTGAAAGTTTTCGTGGGATAAAGAATGGAGCCTTTACTCTGTGAGGATAGCCTTACAGGACGTATTTCCTGGGTGACAACGGTCTATAGCCCATTTTGCAGAGTCTTTATCTCCTGGAATGCGCATAAACCAAACAGATTAGAGCTAAAACTCAAAACGGAAGAAAAAAATCATCGTAGCACACTGACTGGGCCAGTGTTAAAGTTCCACACTTAGTATCAAATGAATAGGACACTAAACAGGGGATTTAACCAAAGAAAAAAACGGCGATGGTTTTGAGTCAGTCGTCTAGCCGGGAACCTATCTCTTTCCGTGACTGACGGAGAAAAAAACGGATTTTTGTTCTACTACGTTTTCAATGTAAATCTAAAAGCACAGCTGGAGACTTTAGCCACTCATAGCTTACATTTGATGGTCACGACCTTACGTTTTTTTTTGTAATGCTCTGAAGTTAACGAAGTATTCCATGTCTTAGATTTGACACCCTCAAACGGGAAAACCTTACGGAGAAACTGGATGAATTAAAACGAGAGCAAACACAGACCTCAACAACATTGGCGTTTTTCAGCGTATAAAAAGATACATCTGCATCTCATGCAGATTGAAACAATAATCGGTGATTCAACCGTTTATAGTGTTTCCATGTGATACTGAAAAATCATACGATCCAGGGACAAATTAAACAGAACAGAAAAATTAAGACAACTAAGAGACTTATCCTACCTCGAAGTACTTTCTTTGTAGAAGCATCTTTTGCTCTAGAGAGTTTTCTCATGAGAGGAGTTATTGACCCTTTGGAAAAGTTAGCCATCTTCTCTTCAATCAGGTCATCTAAAGAGCGATTCCATTTGTTCATAAGTGTTTTAAGATCCTTTGGGAAGACACATTTCGTGCTCGGGTTTTGTTTTTGTATTGAAGAATCCCGGTTACAGCGAACCTCTTGCAGTTGGTCTTGTCCTCGCGAAGAAATGATAGGTCCCAGGAGAACTCCAGCCGTAAAAGCAGCACAAACAAGAGCAAATAGCGCCGTATTACAAAGCCACGTTTTGTACGATGTATGGAAAAATCCCAGTTCTTTGGCCATTTTAGATTCTACGAGTCGTGTCTACAGCGTTCTCGTTCGGGATAGACACTAATGCGTGAATCTGCTGAGATGGTTTATATACTTATTGAGCTGTCAGCACGGGTCGCACGAGGTCGTGAAATCAATACATCCCCTATTGCTTTCTATTCTCTGCTTAGATCATATCGTACACGGAGTCAGTAAACAACTTATCTCTTTCCTTGTAACTCGTTTTCGAGGGCGAATCCGGCCAATCACGACAGCGGAAAACTCGTCAAAAAATTCGCCGACGTGCTGGCGACGTGCGTTAAGAGCGGTCACGTTAGCGGGATTTCTGCTTCCCATTGGTCGTCCATTTATCTTGGGGCGCGCGCTTTTCCCCGGCGTCCTTTGTCAGAGATTTATTGCCGACATAGTACACTCCTTTGGCAAAAAAGTAATTACTTCACTTCCGAAGGTATTCAACAATTTTCATGGGTCAAATGTTCGATAATTAACGCATCCAATGAATTTAAACATTGCTGGACTATTTTTACATTTTAAACGTTATCTTCCAGATATTGATATATTCTTCAATTCTTGCGTTCAGAGCCACTTGCAGGTTTAAATACGTCAAATGGGTCTGATTAAATTAATGTTTACCCCTTTCGTAACAGATCACTTTCTAATAGCTGGTTTGACCTAGTTTCCGTCATGCGATTCATCTAGGAACCGCAAGGACAAGTTTTCCCCGGGGTTAAAACGCAAGCAGAATTTCTTTGCATATTTCACTGACTCTATACAGTACAATGACCATCAACAGCAAGGTTTTTATGCAATCAAAAGTTGACTAGTGTAAATATGGTACATAACTCAAACATCTTTTTCTTCCGTCAATTTGACAAATCACCCGGGGGGTTGGTTACTTGGGTTATTTTTGCTGCGTACGTGCCACTGGCCTCTCAGAACCGCAACCCCATTTAAGTCTATTTTTTGACCGGAGCTCTTGTTCTTGGCCAGTTATAGACCACATCTTAGTCACTTTTGAGCAAGTGTAATATTCGCGATCCCAACTTCGTCATTTTCTGTTTATGCATCTGCCTTTTAAAGCCTTTTAACTAGGTTTTCCTGAAATGAACTGACACATTTTTTTAAAAACTAAATGCATTAAAAATCTTCCCATTTAAATCCTTACCAACCTGAATTTTCTGACCCGCAAAATCCCGAAAATGTGCGACCCCATTCTGGTAACTCTATTGAAAACTACAACCCCATTACAGTCAATCCAGCCGTGAAAATGTGACCCCATCCAGCGGCATATCCCCATTAGTCTATTATTAAGAAGTACCCCCTGGCAATTCACCCTAATTCACCGCGCCGGCCGGAGCTGCGTGCTTTATGCTGCCGACTAGGGTTATGGGGAGCGTTTCCAACTAAGGTAGGTTATAACGCGAGCCTTCATAGCTTTGAAGTGCAGTTCTTGTTTTCAGCAAATACGGCGCAGTCATGCTCAAGCGAGACTGGCGTTGTGCTGTTTGAACTCTGTTCGCCTGTGAAAAAATATCACTCATGGGTTTTTAACGTATGGTAGGGTTGTTCTGTCAATGAAAAAAAAATTGTAACGAAGTCGGAGAAAATGATTGAACACAATATGAAACAAACCCTGCAAAAATGATTGAGTGAAGTTATACACAATGGAACTGTAATTCAGACATATGAAATCAATTTGATGACCCCCGCTTTCATCCTTGTTATTTTACACTCCATCTCTAACTGACAAGGAAATACGTGTTCTACAACTTTGCACTGCATGGTCTTTTAATCCAATTTTTATTGGTTACTTGGTGGCCAATATATTTGCCGACCAACATAGCATGCAGGGTCTCAAAACAGAATTTGGGGAACCCCGGTAACAGTAAAATATAGGGAAACTGAGAACTTATATATACCGAACCTCGTTGAATTATAACGAACAAAGTTTCCAGTCCCTTGGCCATTCGTTACATCGAGGTTCCAATGTAATGCTGAAGAAGATTCATTTGAATGCGGGTAACACCGTTGGATTTCATCCACAGACTCAAAAGTAAGCATTAAATGCAAAAAAAATTTTGGACCATGTGAAACTACTTTCCCTACGGGGGAAATATAAACCGGCAATGTCTTCAGAAGAAACTCTACTGAGACTGTTATGCAGTGAAAAACAATTTCAGATCGCACTTACAGTGCATCCACGAGTGTTGATGTTAGAAATTAATTTCTTGCACTATAATTAAATGATGAAACTCTTTGAAACAATTGAGAAGGGGGATTAATTGCTTGACAGTTTTCACCCTTTATGAACGGTGAAAACACTAACTTACAGTGAAGTCTTGGTTGAATTTTTCCCACCTGGAAAAAGGCTAGGAAGGAAAAGAAAACTGAATTGAAAAACTAGAAATGGTCCAGTTGTTGGAAGGCCAATTAGCGCTAGTCAACCCAGGGTTAAATTATAATCCAGATGACCTTTTCTCTTGTTCAAAAGCATTCGGATAATTAACCCTGGGTTATCTTAACCTAGCTTTGAACAACCCCTTCATGCATACGATGAGCTACCTCGGTTAAGCTAAGGGGATGCTTCGAGCTCCAGATCTTTTTAAAATCATCTAGTATGTTTTGTGTACGATCTCAGTAACAATCATGTTAAAACAATTTGTATCATTTCCTTTGGCTCCAGACTGATATTTATCAAACAACTGTTAGTTGTTGAGGCAATCAGCTTCTCACTGATGTCAACGATAACCGCAACGTGCCGAACGATTTTCGGGGAACTAAAGATAGCTTATCATCTCCTAGTATAATTTTAGCTGTATCAAAGGTTAGGGTTAGCATTTTTGCTAAATTTAGACAATTATTTGATTTTGTTTCATGGTTTCCTTTTTAACCATTCTGCACATGCCATGACCTCAAATATCAAAATTATTTATACCGCTCTAATCTACCCCTCAGGATCTTCATCAAATTCAGTGTTGTACGAAGAATTTACGACTGATAAATATCCAGCTCAAATCATAAATAGCGACTCAAGGCATTCTTGTTGTTTCCTATTTCATGAACAGTAAGAAAGGAAAATATTGGGAAAGAGATTAATGCCGGGCCGCCCCCTTCAGGGGGCACCAACGACGGTTTCTTCCTAAATACATTGATAACACGTTTTAAGCTATCCAGAGTACTTTTAGATCTCCAGAAATGCATCCAATTGGGGCCATAAAATTTGTACTTGCTCGGTCACCCTAGGGAAACTTGAGTCTTTTCGAAATTACGAGGGTTTCAGTATTTTTTCCCGAAAATTTCAGATGCAATTCAACGTCTTATGACAGTGAGAATTTTTCTGATCCCTGTCTCCATCACATTTTTGAATCCGAAAATTTTACATTTCCTATTTTGCATGAAAAATATCCCAACTTGGGTAGTAAAATGTGAAAAGTTAACCTTCAGCAAATCGTGGGGAACTTATTAGATAAGGTTCAAAAAATTACACATGAATGGAATGGACATTTAGAAACTTTTAGGCGTCCCCAAGTAATAGAAAATTCTAGGTAATATTTGCTTCTCGGAAAAGATATTTTACAGAAAACAATCGTTGGGTGCCCCTGCTTCTTTCCATACCACTAGTTGTCGCGGCCCCTCGAGTAGGTGGACAGTTTCCCAGAAACTACCATTACCATACCCCCCAAAAGAGAGTACAACTTAAAGCAAGGATGAAATGAAACCACAAGATTTTTAACGACTAGTCTTGGGAAACTTTTCGTCCACGTGTATCTTATTTCACCGCATACTAACGGCCGACTAGCCAAGTTTCACCACTACATTCATCGATATTAGCTGACTTTGTTGATGAATGACGAACACAGCTTGTCCCCATCTTGGTTTTCAATTCATACGGTTTGACCACACCGAAGACCGAGCACGGACTAGAACGCGGAGAGTGAACTTTGACGTTGACGCGGTTACAAGGGATCTCCATTTGCTCACAATATCTTTTCAGGTCTATTAATGGAATCAGGGACACCCAGCGACCGAATGTTTCCAATTATGTCAGAAGTGCGGTTTGAAATGGTTTTCCCTACGATTTAGAAGTCTGTTTGGCTAATTCGAAGCTGCCCTAAAAACTCATAGTATTCATCTGTTCGGATGTGTCAGTAGTCCTTTGGTTATATAATGAGGTAGCTTTTTCGTCTCATCGTAATCTTTTAGCTACCTTAAGCCCCGGGGGAAGGGGGTACCCCTGGGAATTCTTGGTGGGGGTGTGCCGCCCGGTTCTCCAAATCCTGACCGTATTTCAGACCAGAAAATGCAATTTTCCACACCCGTTTTCAGACCACACCTCTTAAAATCCATAGCCGTTTTCAGACCTCGAAATTATGTTATCTTTACTTAGATTAGATCAGAGCGCAAACCACAACAATTTTGAATTCGCATAATTATTTCTCTTTCTTTCTTACTCATTTGGAATTGAAACGATAAAAAAGTTCATTAACTCTCGTAGTTCCCTCAAAAACCAAAACGGCGCAAAAATCCTACCCGATAGGGCGGCACATACCTATACAGCTCATATAAGGGAGTACCCCACTCCTCCCCCCCGGGGCCTTAAGTTACCTTCAAGACTCCGAGGGTCGAAAGTTCGAGGATATGGGTGGGGAGGGCAGCCGTATTTTCATTAAAGAATCTAGTGGACGTTATTTCATTATACCGAAAGTAGAGATATATATATATATATTTTTTATGATAATTGCAATATCCATGTAATAAATAGTGAAAGACACAATCGCCGAAAATCGTAAGTAAGTAAAATATTCCAAATATCTTAGACGTAGAACGGTTATCAAGAATTGTTTAGCCGTCTAAAACTTTTATAGAAACTTTAGGCAATATTTGCTCCTTCGAAGAGTTATTTTCACAGAAAAAAGTCGTTTCCTGTCCTTAATGAATGATGATTCACCCATCTCAAGAGGGGTTTCCGTTCTTGGATTACCTACAGGTCAGAAATTAATTCCCCGCAAATTTCCGTAATTACTTTGCACAAGAGAAAACCATCAATATCCATTGTCGTGCGGATTAATGCGGAATTCCCTAAATACGTGTGGGCAAGATAAATTTTTCGGCGAAATGGGTTCAAGGTGTGTTGTTTTGGTTTTTTTACAGCGTCTTACAATGAACTACAAGAGCGTATAGCTAGACTGCGAGCAGTCTCTTTTTCTTCAGCTTTAGTAAGGGGAGTGCACGCGCGCGAGAAACGAGGGCGCGCGAGGTCATTTGCGTGTCTCGGGCGTTTTGCTCGACGGACCAATAAAAAAGAGCGACTGCTCGTAGTCTAGGGTATAGCTAACTCAATTTGCAATGCTATTCCCGGTAATTTGGCAAATCGGCCTAAAAGGTCATGGGCTGCTAGATGCTTGCGTGTCATTATGAGCACAGAAAAAAAATGGAGTTTGCGATGTTGCACAGGCGATATAGATTAGAATTTTGTTCCGCAGAGCGTCCATAGTGCTTCCAAATTACATCTCCTTTTATACATCCGCGGACAAAAAGAATCCCTGGTGAGCTAAAATGACAAAATGATTGTCACTCACGAAACTATTTCTATATCATCTCCGAATCAACAACAAATTAAATTTCAATGTTTTTAGACTACTGTATACCTTCGTAAGGTAGTTATGGAGCTTCAGTAAATGAAGGAACTTCTAAGACCGACCTTCATTCATTTCCAAGAAATGCGGAAAAATTGTACATTGATGAAATCATGTCTCTGTTGTGGTTAAATTAATTTATCCTTACTTTTGATCTTAATATCTTATTTCTTTGTTCCCAGTTATTATCCGATACATTAACATATAACCGAACGGAAAACAGAAAAATGGGAAAAATTAATCCAAGACCAAAAGAACCAAAACAACAAAATGTGAAATGAAAAGAACCATTGAAAGAGGTTTTTGAAATGACGTCTGCACGTATCTTTGACATAGCTGTTGCTGCATTTTACCATCGGTTTCTTTCGACATGCAAAAATGCTTAGCCTAAAATTGGAATCGTTGCTGCAATGTTTAAAAAATCTACCGTCAATCCTTACGAATTCACTCAAGAAGCTAGCAGTTGTCAATAGGCGGGATTATATATTATAGAAGTTTGGAAGACAGACTTAGCGTAAAAAGTTAAATGGCCGCCATAATATACTACCAAATGACAGCTTAATACATACGGTACCGTTCGAATTTTGCGCTGTTCACACGGAAGTGTCAAATCGTGATATTTCCAAGCAAAGCAAGTATAAAAAACACTACTCGTAAATCCACGTTCGCAATATCTGTTTGCAATTTTCCCCTCTCCTGTTTCCCAGCTGAGTAACCACGCATCATGCAACCACTCCTTTGCCGTAGAAAAATTTAGTCGGTCATAGTGTTCACATCATGCCTTTGAGTTTTCGACCGTACCGGTCAAAAACTTGACCTTGATTTTACCGTTCAAATTTTCGTACGGTTAGCGTGGTTCTGTGTCAACGGAACAGCTAACCGTACCAATTTTCGAACGTATGAACGTAACCTGAGAAAAAAATGATCTTAAGTGTCTTACCTATCACGCTTCTTCTATTTAAGAGCTTTAAGGTGACACACTCGTCTTTAACGTAAGAACGAGTCTTATCATCGAGCTTAGCAGAGATGAATCAAAGCTAGCCTTAGTTACACAGGACAATATCGAAATAATTGGCAATAAACAGCTTCGAAATCTTTCTTGTAGATCTGCCATAATTCTGCCAATAATCCTTTTTAGGGTTTTGGATTATTTTGCCAAAGGTATTTCTTCTTAATTAAAACTAAGTATGAGTCAACAAAGCAATAATGAGTTATGATCACTCAGTTGTGAATGACGATTTCGGTAACGACTTCTGGAGGCCCGAGTTCAAATCCGTCCCAAAAGTTTTAACTCCTCGGCCACGCCTGAAAATAGCCAACTGGTTTACATCTCGTCGGTTGAAAATTTTAACCTTGTCATGTTTCAGTTAGCGCTCGACCCCACCTGCGCTTATGCTATAAATACTGCCGAGGTGAAATAAAGATCACATATGTATTTCGTAATCAGTTTTATTTTTTTAAGTTACAAGAGTCCGAAGGGCGCGGGAATTAATTTATTAATAAGTTAGAGGGACCTTTTTAAGCCTACTTGAAATTACCATCTAAAAAGAAAAGACAAAGTGTATCTCTTTATCGATTCTATACTGGGCTGGAGTCACTTGTCTGTTAGCCGTTTGATAGATACTATTTTAAGAAAAGCATATATAATTTAAAGATTTATAGGATTATATATGTTTGTTAGCTTTAATTAATAAGCTACAACAACGAAATATTCTTCATGTTCACTGTGATTTAACAGGTGCAAGCTGTCAAACTTTAAATACTTAAGTTTGCTCAAGGTACAAAAATGTGCACCAATAACCCAACGAAATAACTCCCTGATCGTCCTTAATTTCACTGAACGGGGTAGACCGTCACAAAAATCTCTGTAAAATGTTAAGGACTTAAAGTGCACCGTTTTTCTTGATTATGTGACAATTTTTGCTCAGTTGCGAGTTTTAGGATACCATTGACTCAGATTTTATGATTTTATCCACTTTTTCACCTTATCTACGATAAATTCGTCATAACCTTGCATTTTTTGTGCGATAATCCTTCGTAATCCAGTATCTTCAGGAAAACAAAATATATCTTTATCAAATAAATCCTATGCAGATCTTAAGCTACTTCACGGAAAGCCCTGCCCATTGCCAGACAGGTTTAACCTTGCTTAATTGCTAACACTGAATTAGACACTGGAAGAAAATAATTAGGACGTGAAGGTCTTTATCTTGATTATAGGTCATTGAAAAAAGTTATATTACTCAATAGGTATTATTCTTTAAGCTCGAAAAGTCAGCTTTATTTACTTATTTGATAACATTAACCTGATTTTTTGGTTGTATTTCTCACTCGTCCACTTAAAACGAGAACGTAAACTGTTTACTGTTAAGAAAAGCCAGCCGATTGACGGAAAGCTAGCAAGAAGTGCTTTTACGTTATACAGAGTACACTGAGTGCACATTTAGAGTTTCCGGAGAGAATCGAATTTGGCCAAACAGAATTTGAAACATTTCTCAACACCCCTTGCTTGGGGCGGGGAAAGCGCGTCTGGCGATAGACTGATTAGCAAATCAAGACAGCGGAGGCTTGAATTGCGCGCTTGGATGCATTTCTGGCAATATGAAACGGCTTAATATATGATTTTCCGATTTGTGTGGCTGTTAAACCAGATGTCGTGGGAGGCTATATTTTTAAGTCCTCTGCAAACCTTAAGATGACACATCGAAGCTTGAAAGATCATTTTATAGGGTCCTTAAAGAAATCAGCTTACAAGATCAACGGACTGGCGATTACGAATGTCTCATCCAAACTTTCCAAATTACCTTCAAATGATACAAAGATATTTGGCTAATGAGTTATGACCAAGCAGTTGGTAAGATCTTCTCCAAAACTATGAAAAATTGTTGCTTCGAATGATTTTTTAGGTACTACATTTACAAAATAGGTCGTTTATACCAGGAAAAGAAAATAAACAAACATTTAATAACGAGATAATAAATAAACAAATCAAAGGATAAATAACTTGAAAAAGAAAATTACAAGTCCGATAAGAAAGAGCGAAAAGGATATAGTTCGTTAATTTCAATGGCAAGTTATTCC